TTAACTTCTTGTGAAGAAACTCCTTCAACACAACTTCATCTTCATGCAAATACTGCACTAATTACACAGGGTTTAAACCGAGCACTAAAGCAGCAGAGGTCTGATAGGCCCCTACAGAGCAACACTTAGCCAAGGGGTATTTAATAATTTTAGAAATGCATTTGATAGCCAAGCGGTGGTGTCACAATCCTTTAATCCCAACACTCAGGAGGCACAGACAGGTGGATCTCTCTGTGCATTCAAAGACAGCCTGGTTTACTGAATGAGTTCCAGGAAAGGCTCCAAAGCTACAGAGAAACCTATCTTAAAAAACAGAAAAACAACAACACATTTGATGAAATTATTCTACAATTCAGATTATGTCCTAATTCACACAACTCCAAACTAATAAAGTTTTATTATTGATGTGGCAGGATGTCATTTGAACAAATGCTATCAAATAAATGAACACCTAGAAATCCAAGTCTTCTGAAATGAAAGCCCGGAACTAACTGGCATGCTAACACTGGCCACACGACTTTCCCTAGTGGGCATATGGGCCAGAAAAAGGCATGTTCTTCCTTTCCACGGGGAGGAGTATGTGCTGGGTGCCTTACACCCAGTCTGCTGCCTTTGCTGCCTTACAGCCCCAGATCCCTTTCTTTATGAGGAAGTAACCTCTAGGGGAAAGGTTACCAAAGGCCAGGCTTTTACTTACTCTCACAGCTGATCGTGAGAATGATAACTTTTATAAGGGAGAAATGAGGACTCCTCCCACTTCTAACAAGAAGTAACCAGCCTTTCTCTTTCTTGAGTTTTTGGGCTGTTTTGAGACAGGTTCTCTCCATACAACTCTGGCTGTCCTGGAACTCACTCTGTAGACCATGCAGGCATCAACTCAGAGATCCGCCTGCCTCTGCCTCCCAAGTGCCGGCATTAAAGGCATGCGCCACCACAGCCCAGCAAGGCCTGGTTTTATCCAAGAGCTACAGTCTCCTGACAGCATTAACAGCGACACACAGACCCTCTTATAAAGTGTTCATGCATAAAAAAGTTACATGAATTTAATCAATTTAATCGCTCCAAACTGGGGGAAGCATGGGGTCAGTGAAACAATAAAGGCACCCAGAGAAACACCTGTGGGATGTAGACACTTCACTCGGCAACCAGTCAGGAGTCTCCCGAAGGTCAGTGTCATTAGAAGCTAAAAAGCCGTGGGGCCGGAGATGCAGCCAAGCGGTACAACACTAGCCTATCCCTGGCCACTCTAACGCACCGCCAACTGGGAAGCACAGACTGAACATAACGCACGGCCCTCTGCTGAGTCAGCTGTTTAAAACTCCAGCTATAAAAGAAAACGGCATTTGAGGAAATGTAAACACGCAGTAGGTATCAGATGATGATGGTATGGAGTTATTAATCTTCTCCGGTGTTACATAGAGGACTGTCCTAGTATTCAGAGATGAAGTGTGGTAATGATTGCAGTTTTTCTTCAAATGGCTCAGAAAAAAAAAAATCATGAAGAGAGAAGTCTTGACAAAATGTGAACTTACAAAACTAGGTAGCAGGCAGGCATTTGCTTTTCTGACATTTTAAAAGGTAAAACTGTAGTGGGACACAGAGGGGCGACCATGAGAAGCACTGTGCCAACTTGGTATGAGCACAGAGCACACAGGGAGGCCAGAGCTGTACGAGGGAAAATCCGGCACTTACCTGGGGTTACGATGCCATAGCTGAGTGGCCTGGTTTGTGACTTTGCTCTGGGCCGCAGGAAAAGAGCTGTCACTTCTTATCGCCAGTGTCCTGTTGCTGCTCTAATCTGCATCCATTGCTACCAGCCTGCTAGTCCCCATCTGTGACGTGAACACACACTGGTAGATTTACCCAAGCTGCCAAATGCTTGCTTTGTTAAAAGCCAATTCTGTCCACACTTCAGCTCTGAACCCTGAGTGTGCATGCTGAAGGAAGTCTGAGTTTGCTCTGCACTCACAGTCCTGAGCGTAAACACCCCCAAATGCTAACACACACAGGCCCACACCGACCTTTGGCTGACAGCTAGCTGACTTTCCTACACTGGAGTAGCTCGCCAAGCTCCACGACTGCTCAGCTACATTCTGCTGCAATTCCAGCCTGAGTGACTTCAGTGAGTCACACACTCTGAGACAAAGACACCAAACAAGACGGACTGTTTGGCATGCAGCTCATGACAAAGTCTCCTGCTTAAAGTGGGTACGCGGACACCCAGCCAGTTTCATAACATCTCTGAAAACTCTTGGAGTGGCTAGAAACTTTATAATCTGGCTTGGGTTTGCTGGGCACTCCCTGCACAAGGAAGGAAGGGGCTCCTTAGCTGAAAGCTCTGGGAAGTCCCTCTACTTAACTCACCAGTGGTTGGCGGTCTCTAACGGTCTGCATGGTTCTACAGAATAAAGAACAGGGTACATTCGGGACCTAGGCTGAGTCAGCCTGCAACTTCCAGAAATGACACAAGACATCCATTAGAAGAGCAGCAGGGGGAGAAATACTTGGGAGGATCCAGATTTCCCCAGGTGACATTAAGATATGTCCACATTCTTCCTCTAGCACAAAGCCTACCCTCACAAGAAAACACAGCATTTCATGCATAAGGAAAGAAGAAACACAGTGGTCTGCGGATCCACTAAGACCAGGAATGTGAAGGGAGGAAACTTCCCAGGCTGTCATGCAGAGAGGTGGGTCTATCGTACCACAGCAAGAACTGGTCCAGCTAGAAAACTGAATAGTCCCAGGAGTCAAAACTGGGATAGGAACCAAGCGAGACATTGACTCTGTTGCCTTAAGGGACACAGTACCTGGAAGGGGAAGACCCGAAAGAGACCAGAAACTGTTAGTTCAGACTGCTCAGAAGCATCTGAAAGGCACTTAAAATGTGCCTGAAGATGACAAAGATGGGACTGCCCTAGTAAGGTGCTCCCCACCCCCATCCCTCCCCCCAAGGGCTTCCACTTGGGCTCTGGCCCAGAAGGCTGGCCCTTGACTCCGACAGCTTACCAGACAGATTCTGTGATCAGGAAGGCTACGATGTAGACCAACATCTGTCAGATGTGCTGCGCGACAAAAATCTAGTCCAGAGTCTAAGGCAGCCCCTTAAAGGATCCCTTCCTCTTCCTGCCTGCTCAAAGCAGGAAAGCCCCATAATCATATTTCAACAGGACCAAGAAGCCTAAGCCAGATGACAGTTACCTCCCAAACTGGGTTGGGCCCCCTGCTGGCGCCACAGTCCCATCCTCTGGGCCTGCTCTATCTGCTTTCCGTGTGCAGGACAGACCTAGGTATGGCCTCCCCAGTTCTACACATCACCCAAACTCTGGCTGTCCCAGGGCCTACTGGCCATTCTCACAAACTTCTCCACATCAAGCCTTCCCCTGGACGGGCGTCTACTTTCATCCCTACTGTATGCTCGCAGAAAGTACTAGCAGCATGGGCTTTGGTCATAAACTCACACTGAAGATTAAGTAAAGATAAGCACGACAAAGTGTGAAGGGGAAGAAGCCTCCATCCACCACAGTTATCTTGAAAACACACAGGCGGCAGTACATGCATGCGCGCCCGCCCGTCAGCCACCGAGTCGGGCTAAGTTGTCACCAACTGTTACTGTGGGAACAAAGGAGCACCGGGCCGGCAGCGCAGATAGCGGTGGAAAAGACAAAGTGACACGCACACGGGCAGTTGGGCACTTCTTGTTCAAGGCCGAGCGGACAGAAAGAAATGGTGGCTAGGATTGTCAGGCTCTCCCGGGGCCAACCGAAGCCTGGGAAGAGTTTGCCCAAAGAGACCTCTTGCTACAGACAAGCGAGGCTAACCCTAGTATCTGCACTCAGCTGCAGGGCTCCCCTCCCCTCCCCCAAGCGGAAGAAGAGCAGGTGCTGCCCGAACTCCCCATTCTGCCCATGGAGCAAGGTTTCGAGAACAGATTAAGTTTTGGAACTGACACCTCGGTACGGCTTAGGTACTACTCCCGCCTAACGCATTACAGGGACACCCCCGCAGCCCCCGCACCCCCCCCGGGCCTGGGTGCCCGGCAGGCCCCCATCCTTTAATAAGGGGAGGATGCCCATCAGGGAAACACCTCGACCTCTCGACCTGAGCGTCCTCAAGGCCCTCGCCGCCACCCCACGGGAGACAGGAGACTTCTTCCTTTGCTACCAAACTCTGGAAGAGCCTCTGGCAACTTAGCACGGAGAGTCCAGGACCTTCCCCGGACCCTCTAAGCCTCCTCCATCAAGCCAGCCAGGATGTACGAGTTTCACGTGGAGAGAGGAAATTTAAAATGCCAGTAACAATCGTGGGGTGGGAAGAACGGCCGGGGGAAACTTCAAGATACAACTTAATTAGGAAAAGCCTGGGTAGAGCTGAACGGGGGGGGGAGGTGGAGCCCAAGGCAGTCCGAGAGGCTCTTTCCTGAACAATGGGAGGGAGGAGGACCGGGGTAGGGCGGGGGGCGCCGCGCGGTAAAGCGGGGGCCCGGACTGCGCGGCCCTAACACTACAGGTGGGTGTGGGGCGGCCCCAACGCCGGCCTGGAGAGTGCAGGTTCAGGGAGGGACGAGCCCGGCGTCAGCCTCGCGGGGGCTGAAGGCTGTGGGGTCGGAAGAGCCTAGGGGAGGTGGAGGGGAGACCGTTCCATCCCCCCCAGCAGGAGGTGAGAGCCAGCCGTGCCGCCTTCGCGGGGGTCTCGCTCCACACCGGAAAGGGAGGGGGCCTTCATTTGCGGGGAGGGGACGGCTTTAGGGTGGCGTCTGGTGAGGGACCGGGTCTCAGGTGAAGAGGGGACAGGGTCACTCCGGGCCGGGCGGGCGGGCGGGCGGGACTCCCTTCCAGTCTGCGAACGCCCAGCGCGGCCTCGCGAGCGAGCGAGGGAGGCGCTGCAGCCTTAGGGCCGGGTCTCCCAGGCCGGAACTCTACCGGGGGCCGGGGGGGACCGGGGGCCGGGGTGGGGCCGGCGACGCGGGGCCGAGGCGGGGCTGGGGTCCCCGGACTCACGCATCAGTGTGCTGAAGGCCACGACGCCGAGCAGCCCCTGCAGGAAGATGCCGAAACTGTGCATGAGCGCGCCGCTTTCGCAGCGGCCCGCCCCGGACGCCACGGTGGAGGCCGGCGCGCCTGGCAGTCCGCGGCTCACGTTCCCTCCCGGGCCTTGCATGGCGGCCTGGCGGCAGGGCGCGAGGGGCCCGCCCGGGCCCTCGCTGCAGCCCGGGCCGCGCCGCCCAGCCGCGACCCGGGGTCTGGAGCTGGGGAGCCGGTACCTCAGACCGCGGCCACCTTCCGCGCCGCGCGTAACCCGACGTCGGAGATCGTAGAGCTTGATTGGGCCGGCCGGGCGAGAGGCGGGCTTCGCCGCTTCGGGGGGCGGGGCTCCGGCCTGGGCTAGGGGGCGGGGCCGAGGGGACTCTCTCTCTGCAGGTAGACCGAGCCAGACTGTGTGGAAGGGAAGTCAGCAGGACCCCGTGCTCTATCTAGGTCGTGAGGTTAGCATCAGAGGCAGTGCTAGATCCCTTTCCCCTCCAAGGTCAGTCTTTCACGGCCTGGGCAATTTACATCCCCATGGATTTTGCTTCACAAGTGGAGCCCGATAACCCGCAGCTACATTATGCTAGAGCAGGGTGTTGAGTACAGCAATCTCAGACTGAGTCTTTTTGCCACACCAGACATAGAGTGTTCTATTTTCATGGCCAAGAGCCACAGGATTCAAAGCTCCAAGGTGAGTCGTCGTCGTCGTCCCCTAACATACTTAGTGGGGTTCTTGTTGTTTTGAAACGGGCTTTTCTGTAGCTCAGGCTGTACTCAAACTTAAAACAAGGATGGCCTTGAACCACTGATGCCCCTGCCCGCACATCCTAAGTGCTGGGGTTACAGGCGTGACAACCCCAGCCCGATTTTGCCGTTTAGTTTGAGATGGGGGTCCTGTTGTTGAGTTGCCTAGGCTGATCTAGAACCTCTGTCCCGGGGCAGCTAGCCACTACACTTTGTAATCTAAATGGTTGCTTCAATCCACCCACTTTCACTTCATAGAGAATACAGTTGAGTTTAAATGAAGAGTTCATTGCACAGGTCCCCGCCTTGTTCACTTATGAGGTATAACTACAAACTGAATTTTTGTTGTTTGAGATAGGGTCTGGAACTTGTTATGTAGATCAGGATCTGTCCTGCCTCTGCCTCAAGGCACATGTCATCACATACACCCAGCCTGATTTCATTTTATAAAAAATGCTAAAGGTGGGTATTTGCTGATCTCCAATATACCAGTGTGCTGACAGAGTGCATTTAACTCTTACTACACCAGCTCCTAGACTGCTCTGGTGTCTCTCTGACTCACGCCTGTTGGTGCCCCAGAGCCCTGACTTTCCTGCTGCTTGTCAATGGACATGTGTGTGGTACAGGTTCAAGTGACACTGAGCTCCATTTGTTGAACAAGTAATATCTCAAAAGAAATTTCCCCACAAAGTTCTTTTTTTTTTTTTTTTTGGTTTTTCGAGACAGGGTTTCTCTGTGGCTTTGGAGGCTGTCCTGGAACTCACTTTGTAGACCAGGCTGGCCTGGAACTCACAGAGATCCGCCTGCCTCTGCCTCCCCGGTGCTGGGATTAAAGGCGTGCACCACCAACGCCCGGCCCCCATGAAGTTCTAATTATCAAAGAGGGATAAATGCTATCCAAAGTTTTCCTGGTTAGCAGGAATATTAATTCTGTAATTCTGGAAAAAGTGCTCTTCTGCAGCCTCTCACAATCTACTCATATGGCATTCTAATTGTGTGGGTGCTGCTCCCTACCCCTTCCTGCCCAACAAGCTGCTGCACAAGCTTCCAGCCCGCCTGACCTGCCCCCCACTGTGCTCGTAGGCTGCTCTGCCCACCCATGAGGTTCAAACTGTTAGATCACACAGTCACCTCCTACCTCTGAGTATGAGCTTCCGGAAGACAGAACTAGTCTTGATTCACTCTTGAATCCAATAGATCTAGCACACTACAAATGTAAATTTAACTACATTTTAACTTATAAATCTGAAAATGCTCCATAAATTTACTGGCCATGGGGGAAATATTAATAAATGGATAAGGCAAACTTAAAATTGCATTATTCCCTTTAAGTACGAGAAGGATCTTATATAAAAAACACTAAACAGTTACCACAGTTCATGTTCAGGGAGGACCAAAGAGGTGTCTTAAAGCAGAAGAGACTGTGACTGAGCATACGATTATTAGTTACAGCGGGGGGGTGGGGGGGTTGGGGGGTGTATGCCACTCATGGATCTCTGAGTTTGAGGCCAGCATGATCTACAGAGTGAGTTTCAGGACAGACAGGGCTAGAGAGAGAAACCTTGTCTTGAAAAACAAAAAAACAAAACAAAAAAGGACGCCGGGCGTTGGTGGCGCACGCCTTTAATCCCAGCACTCGGGAGGCAGAGGCAGGTGGATCTCTGTGAGTTCGAGGCCAGGCTGGACCGACAGCCTCCAAAACAGAGAAACCCTGTCTCATAAAACCAAAAAAAAAAAAAAAAGATTATGATACTTGAAGACACAGTTAAAAAAAAATTGCACACAGAGCTAGCTGAAAAATGAAGTTTTAGGACAAACACTGCTTTGCACCTTTAGGTGTGGATGGTTCTAAGGTCCACAGAGAACAAAAGACAAGATGCTGCTTATCCTATGTCTTCTTAGTAAATTAAAAAAAAAAAAGTATCTAAATCCAGGAGGGACAGGAAAAGACAGAGGCTTCTAGAATTTTATTTAAGTAGGAAGGGCCTCTCTTACTCATTTCAGAAGTGACTCTCTGAGGCCCCACTAGAAAGAGTTTGAAAGAATGTATGCTAGTCAAAAGCTTTTCTTACTATAAAGTTGCACAAAAGTTAAATACAGAGTAATACCTGTTTAATTTTCTCACAACCACTTAAAACTGTCATATCACAAATTTACTATAAATTTGTTTGCCAAAAAGAAAGAAAAGCACACATATATTGATTCAAAATAGTTTTGTTTTGTTTTTAATCGTTTAAAATTATAACCATCAAACTTGATGGGAGTTATTTTAATTGGTATTCTAGTGCATACTTCTCCTAAAGTGTACTTGGTCTTCAATGCATACTTTTTTAAATTAAGAGGAAAAACAGCAAGCAGGAAGGATACAATGCCAAAAGCATCTCAATTTGTTCCAAACAAGCAACTTGTTTTTGTTTTGTTTTTAAAGCAAAATACATAAAACAAAGTGCATTCCTTCCAGGGGCTGGAAGCAGCCTGGAGTCCCTCCCATCCTGGCAGACCTCTGATTGTCACTAGAGAAAACTCAACTAGAAGAGGAGGGGTGAGAGAAAAACAAGTAAGCACTAAAGTCTCAAGAGAAACATCCAAACTGTCTTCCCCAGAGTCTTGCAAAGGGACTAGAGACCACCTGCTTCACCCTGGCCTACACTCTATAAACTTCTGTATCCTCCACTAATCGTCTGCTTTGAGATCTGAGTTGCCCTTAAAGTCTGTAACCGTCAGCATTCTGTGACCGTGTCTATTCTGCCAAGCCAGACACAGTTGGACAGAATAAAGCATACAGGAGCCCTTGGGCCTGAGCCTCCACACCGTCCCTCTCAGGCTCATCAGCAATGGTGACGTGACACGGTCTTACTGTTGGCAGGGTCCTCCCTCCTCCCCACGGCTCGGCTCGGTGCTGCGCTTCACTGCTGGTGGTGACAACTGTCTGGTGGATCTGCTGCCTGTCGCCCTTTCTCAACACCTCATTGTGCTGTAATGCCAGATGGGTCACAAAGAGCAGGAAGGGAGTTGTAGACCCACTATCCCCTGCCTCCCTACAGACTTTCAGCTCTGTGTTTGCAGGCTCCTGTGAAATTCTGACTTCTTAAACACAGTAGCAAGAAAATCAACATGCACTGCATTTAGTACCCACTACACCTTTACGTTCATTCTCAGGGCGGCTCCCAGAGCAAAGGTGCCCGTGTGGCTAAGACAAGCACTGAGGAAAACAGCCCCCGAGTGAGCACCTGGAGCCAGATCCATTTGGACTAGACTTTGGGTTTAGAATTCTTGCAACCAAACTCCAGGTTAATAGGTAGATTATTAGGATAAATTCAGATTCCCCAAGTATATACATTCTCATACAAAGCAATCATCAAAATTCATGAGTAAAACATTTAAAATGGATAAAGCCAATGCTAAGAAAGTGGCTGTTACTTCTTGGTTGCACAGGAGACTCTGTTCTTACGGAGTTTCTAAGCCAACACCATGGCCACAAGACACAGCAACTTACAAAGGTCCTAAGACTAGAAACATCCGAATTTACAAAAGGAGTATCTTGTTAGCCCAAGTTTTCTAGTTCACTTCTTAGTGATTTGCCTTCTTCACTTCACAAGGTCAACATACGTCCTATTGATAAAAGAGACTACTTAGGGATTTGTATGAGTTTGCACACATGGAGTATATCCAGGAGGTAGACAGTTCAAACTCAATGTGTGTTTCCACAGTCAAGACTCTCTCAGCACTTCTGGCAATCAATGAAACTGGAACAGAATCTCTTCATTGCAAGTTTTTGATAAGATGTACCAAGTAAGAATAAGCATCAGTGACAGTTTCTACAACGATTTTATATTTAGATCCAGTCCCTGATGTTGTGTGCCTCTTGGAAACAATGTTGGCTTGATAGGGGGGGTGTGTTTTGAGTCCCACCTGCCTTAAGCTGCTGTATTTAGGCATCACATTAATAACTACAGCGGTTCTAGAGAGCATGTAAAATGTACTTTAGTCTTCAAGTCGTCAGGAAGCTTTGGTCTAATGCCCTTTCCCTCAGAGTGAAAATAATTTTACTTCTAGGAGAAAAGATTTACAAAGGTCAAACTCTGAAGTGGTTTTCTATGCCTGCCTCTATCATAATTCAATAAATATTTACCATGATCATCATTTCCAGAGGTTGGCTAGCACCCTTCCTGGACCCATATTATAAACACAGGGAGCCAAGTACATTGCTAAAGAAAGGCTAAAGATAGAATCCAAAGGCTCCATTAATACATCCCTGTATTTGAAAAGGATCAAGATAGCGCACAAAGGGAAACAGAAGTCACAAGAAACCCACGAAATATAATCAAAACATCGGGGCCCATCCCACCGGTCAAGATCTCCCTAGAAGACCAACATAGCTGTAAAGTCCAGCTTAAGTCAGGTAACTTTTCATGTCTACAAGGGTAACAGAACAGAGTCCATTCATGTGTTTCTAAGTTTTCCAATTCAGGTTAAAGATGGATCACAAAAAACTTGACTGTAGACGAGCTTTGAGAACAGCTGCAGGGGAACTCCAGACAACATACCTCTAATAAATTTATGAGGCTGGCTTTCTCAGAAACAGACCACACACACATGTGAAACATATAAACCTCTTACCCCAATAATGCAAACAAAGCAAAACAAAACAGGACCTCATATAGCCCAGGCTAGCCCAGAACTCACTATGTAGCTTAGGATGGCCTCAAACTTCTGATCCTCATTTCCACCCCCAAGTGCTGGGATTGGAGGTGTGCATCACCATACTCAATTTGATATTAGAATTGTATACTTGAAGTCCTCTACAAAATTCTCACACAATTGTCCTCTTATGTGTGACACCGGGGAGGAGGGGTGGGGGTGTATAATTCTTCTTTAATGTGTCTCCCAATCAGGGTGCAAGGAATTTTTAGGGACACCCTCCTCACTTGTCTAATTTATGACTAGCCTTTCTACAGGAAAAGAGAGACTGAATAATTGTGTGCAGTCAGACAAGACTATTGTGTTCCAACCCTCCCCACCTCAGGACTACGTAAGGTCATGTGCTCCCCCTTTCAGGTCCAATACCTATCATCTCTGATAGTTCTACATTCTGTGATCTCTGAGGTCAAGAAGAGAGACATAATCAAATAGGCGTTGCTGTCACCCTTCCTTTTACTAAGACAACAATGTGAGATCCTATGGACTAGGTATTATGCCCTCATGAGACCCCTTTTGCATGGTCTCGGGAAATTCTATGAAGACAGCCATTCCAAATGAGCCTGTCAATACTAGGTGTTTCCTAGTGTCAAGTATGCTTCTCTCCCAAGGGTATGACACACTCAAGCTTTTAAAAACTGATCTCTAAGTTAGCTCACAGATAATGAGCTGTCACTTAGATGATGCTCCTTCCAGACACACGTGTTGGTGACTTTTAAGACTTGGTTGGAGGGCTTGAGTTAAGGTGGTTCAAGAGTTATTCAAATGAAGAACAGGATCCAGACTACAGACTTTCCCAGTGTCCATAAAAACAAGCTGGGGTTGAGATGAGAAAAGAAAAAAATCACAATTTAAATTTGTAGTAATATTGCCTTATATTTGTATAGTTGTTCAGAATGTACTCAGCTTGCAGTTTTAAAACACTTTCAATTATTGAGGAAAAATGCTTATCGTATAAATCTGTAGGGATTAGGGCAACCCAAAAATAAATAAATAAACAAACAAACAAATAAATAAATAATCAACAAGGAAACCATTTAAAGGAGGCAACCTGTGTATGTATGTCTTTCCTTACCCATGGCTACAGTATAGCAAGTGCTATTCTTCTATAATAGCTAACAATGTCATTATAAGTGAAAATTCACCTGTAGTTTCATGTCAACTTGAGTTTAATTGGAAAAAAAGCCAAAAGAATGAGCTACTGAATGGGAATCTTCAGGCTGTAAATTACATTCAGTTTAAATTGGTTTAACTGAAGACAAGCATAAACATGGCTAGACTAAGGTTTCCAAACTCCTTAACCACCTCTCTCATTAAAATGCCAACCAGCTCTGACTGGCTTTCCAGATGAGACAAAATCTGGGACATTTGGGGAGGCATGGTCATACACTCCATAGCTACTTGTCAATACTTATCACCGAGGACACCACTAAGAAACTCCACACTTTGTGCCATCCCCAAATCCACATTTTCTCTGCTGTGCCGAATTCTACCTGGACACATCTAGAAAACTGGGCTTCACAGAGGATCCAAAGGACACCTACTGATTTTCACTGAGAGCAGAGACTCCAGAAATGAAACAGAGGTAGTCAAACAACTCTAGAGAAAAACAAACAGAATAAAAGCCAATGACACATCTTTCAAAACAAATAGGGAGAGAGAGTAATTAAACTGGAATACCAAACATTGGTCTTTGAGAGGCCACTTAGAAACGGTGACCCAAATTGGGTCAAGATGAAGGACGTAACAGTAGAATTCTTAGGACAAACTGGTTAAGGACTGGTGCGAGTGCCAACATGACATCTTTAAGAAAGCAGGCAGGGCCTTCTAACTTCTGTTATAGTTTTAGCATTCAGTTTAAAAATGGCATCATACAAAAAATGTCACTCATGGCTATAAGCGCAGTCATCAACAGAGGTAGTAAACAAAGAAACTCCTAAGGATAGATTTTTTAAAATGGATCTATACATTCAAAACCCCAGAGCCACATAATTATCCCCAAAATTAACTGCTTTAATTTAAAAAAGAAAACGCTTGAAGACACAACGACAACGAAGCACTGATGCCCAAAACCAGTGCTGACTTAAAGCTGCGCTCTCTCCAGGAAGAGCAGAGAACAAGGTCCAACTACCGTGGAAGGGACAGAGTGAGGGCAACCACCCGTGCTGTCCCGCTGTCCACATCATTCTTCCTTTGCCCATCGATGGGAACTCCTATTTGTAAGGTTTTCCTCCTGACAATTTTTAACTGAAATCTCCTGAATACAAGTCCACATTTCCACTATAGGAGAGCCATTTTTGTGCTGTTTTTGCTTCCTCAGTGAGGGTCCTCCTTCCTGAAAGTGCAAAGAAAGCGAGCCAACATTTGCAGGGCTGACAGCCCCAGGACCACAGCAGCCACCTGTAGAGCAGGGCAAAGGGTCTGCTGAGCTGTGCTCCACAGACCCAGCTCACTCTGCTTGTCCTTCTCAGTTGGCAAACTGCTCATAAAAAGCAAACTTGATCCTCTCTATGTGATGGCAAAGCTTGATAGCAGGGCCCAGCTTTAAGTCCATGCACTCTTGAACAGTGGGAAGGGTTAGGAGCAAGAGGGCCTGCCCATCGATTTCCTGTTGAGGTAAAGAACAAAGTGTCTGTGATATGCACACAAACGCAGCCCTCACGACAGCCCCTGCTTGCACTATCACAACTACAGTTCGCTGCCTCCCTGTTTAATGCCCCCCCCCCCTTCTTTTCCTTTTTGTGAGACAGGGTTTCTCTGTGGCTTTGGAGGCTGTCCTGGAACTCACTCTTGTAGACCAGGCTGGTCTCGAACTCACAGAGATCGTCTGCCTCTGCCTCCCAAGTGCTGGGATCAAAGGCGTGCACCACCAGTGCCCGGCTAAAACATGCCAGAGTCGGTCACCCTGAGAAGCTTTCAGAGTTAGTAATAACATTTTACCAACCTTGAGACTCTAATCTACAGATTCTGTGCAACAGAAATTCAGTATCTGTAAAGCCCTGTAAAATAACTAATTGTAAAAAAGAAACATACTTTTAAAGGACTTTTTCTTTCTTACATTTAAAAAAAAAAAGATTTATTGGTTTATTATGTATACAGCATTTGCCTGCATGTATTCCTGCACACCAGAAGAGAGGGCACCAGATCTCATTATAGATGGTTGGAAACCACCATGTGGTTGCTGTGAGTTGAACTCAGGACCCTCTCTGAGCCATTCTCCAGCCCCATTTTTTTTTTTCCATTTTTCAAGACAGGGTTTCTCTGTGTAACAGCCCTGGCCATGCTGGAACTCTTTTATAGACCAGGTTGGCCTCGAACTCAAGAGATCCACCTGGCTCTGTCTCCTGAGTGCTAGGATTTTGTGTACCATCACTCTTGGCTAAAGGACGCTTTCTAAATCTAAAACTACCTGAAAATACTAACTATAACTAATGTTCTCCTACCTTGTAAAATTCATAAAACCTCCAAAGATGATAAGGCCTTTGTTTGATTTTTGAGACATGGTCTCACTGTATAGCCTAGACTGGCCTCAAACTCACTATGTAGCCCAGACTGGCGTCCAACTTGTGACCCTCCCACCCTAACTACCCAAACACTGAGATAACAGTCAGAGACGTTGTTTTCAATATGGCTACATAACTAGTTGTGTTTCACCATACCTGCATTTAAACTGGTTACCATTCTAGAGCCTGGCATATTAGAAATGCTAACTTAGGAAAAAAAAAAAAAAGGCATTGCCGGGCAGTGGTGGCGCACGCCTTTAATCCCAGCACTCGGGAGGCAGAGGCAGGCAGATCTCTGCGAGTTTGAGGCCGGGCTGGACCGACAGCCTCCAAAACAATACAGAGAAACCCTGTCTCATAAAACAAACAAAAAAAAAAACAACAAAAAAAGGCATCAAATTGTTATTTTTAAGAAGATGAGGTTAATTAAGACATGCCTGATTTTATTTAAATATTAAATTTCAAGGGAAGACAAAGCAACCATCTGCTGCAACTGTGGTACAAGTCCCTCAAGTAAGGAACAGGACTACAACAATCTTTTGTACCAAACCCTGCCTTCCACATCTTGTAAGTTTTGCCCAGACAGTTCTTTGCCACACACATTATTGCTGCTGCCTTATGCTATCCTGATTACCTGATCCAGGAATATTCTTGCCAGCGGCGCACAGTCAGTGGATCTGATGAACCGCACGACGTCCGCCACAGTCCACTTCAGCGGGTTACTGTCCAGGTGGAGTCTCTCGCCAACCTCAATCCTTATTTCCTTCATTCCCAACAACAAGACAAACCAAGTGGTATAAATAATGACCTATTTTTAAAACGTCTCCCCAAAGAAAGTCAATAACCCTTCAAGGCAGGATCTAAAGTAGGCTTGGGACGAACATCCCCACTCCCCTTATCCTCACTCTCTCAGACTGATTTCTTCCAGTACAGATGACAAGAGGCTCCCATGCATTAGTTATTTGAGAAACTCATAATATGAATTTTATCATATTTATTTACATTTCCAGTGTGTTTCTGGACTGTTTTAGCTGCTTTCTGGTACGATGCTAGAGCAAATGGTATTTCAAATGAGAGCAAGAAGAAGAAATCATTTGTTGCTCCTGTTAATGGGACATTTAAAAAGTCCAGTTTAAAATGGTAATTTTGTTTTAGAGGGTTTCATGCCGTCCAGGCTGGCTCTGAACTGGGATTACAGGAGAATGTCACCACACCTAGTTTTACACTGTGCTGGGGACTGACCTAGGACTTCATGCATGCTAGGCAAGCACTCTACCAGCTCCAAAATCTAAGTTAATTGTAGCCTTTAGTATAATATAGGTCATGTAATGTGTATTTATGTACATAGCAAGTGTGCTACACAAGACAGTGGAATGAGAATTAAATGAGTAAGTAATTTGTTTCTAGAAAACTGTACATATTATAAAAAAAATTATTTAAACTTTCCCTTAAACCAAATGGCAGGTTACAAATAAGCGAACAATGAGACCTTTTCTTCTTCTTCTTTTTTTTTTTTTTTTTTTTTTTGGCTTTTTACAAGACAGGGTTTCTCTGTATTGTTTTGGAGGCTATCAGTCCAGCCCAGCCTCGAACTCACAGGGATCCGCCTGCCTCTGCCTCCCGAGTGCTGGGATTAAAGGCGTGCGCCACCACCGCCCGGCCCTTTTCTTCTTATTTAAAACCAGCAACTTCTCTGAGAATGTCCCTTCACAAGTGATCTCCATACAATCCTTGAAGCACATGAAAACCACAGCTTTGAGGATCACTTAAATATTCTTTTTAAAGATTTCTTTGCATTTGTATTTGTGTGCATGCATACAATACCCAAAGGGGCCAGAAGAGGGCATCAGAACTGGGATTCCAGGCAACTCTGTGGGACACACTGCCATGGGTGCCAGGATCCCACCTTGAGTCTTCCAGAACAGCAGGATGTGCCCTCAACTGCGGAACCATCTCTCCAACCCCGGGGATCAATGTAAAGTGACCCTAGAAATCCTTCCTCAGTTTATATGGGAAGAAGTGGAATGCTGGCATCTTAGAAATCAAAGACAGATTTTTTTCCCACAGGTACCTTTGGTGAAGGCGGCTTATTTTCACCATCTGAGACTGAAGCAGCGCTGGGTTCTTCTTTACTCTTCTGTGTGTCAGGGGGCAGAGGGGTGGACACCTCGCTCTGGGTGGGAGAAGAGGAGCCTGACTTTTTCTCTGACACTTCAGATTCTTCCTGTACCTCGTCCTGCTGCTCAGATGTGCTGCCTTCACTTAAGGAATCATCATCTCCATCTTCTGCATCTCCCTCATCTTCCCCCCCACTTACCTAGAGGAGAAGGAGAGAAATCTCACTGAGACTCAAGTCAAACCAGTACTCACTGCACCACAAAAGTATTCACTAGCCAGAGACTGGAATTACAAACATGTGTGGTGCTGTGTGCACAGACTGTGAGCAGGGGTCGTCTGGCCCTGCAGAAGACAGGTGTGTCACAGATTTCATACCTGGGGTGAGCCCACTGGGGTGTTGTCAACAGATGCGGAAGCACGTTTCTTCTTATGAACAAAAATGTTTTTCCGCCGTTTTCTCTTCTTACTGGCTTTTTTCAGGGCACAAGATAAATTACTGTGACCACCAGGTGGCCTCCCAATTCTTTTATTTTTCTTCTTTCCATAATAATGTGCTAAATATAAATGACCAAAAAGAAGAAGAAAAAGAAAAAAAAGTAGCTTCATTATTGTTGTGTACCTCAAAACCACAGGATTCCATTAGCATGGCAGAAAATGGGTATGCGACATTTGTAGTTTAAATTCTGTAACTGGAATAGGCAGAGGAATACATAACTTGATCTGTACTGATGTGTAAAAATCTCATCCTCACTTTATCAAGGCAGAGAGTTCTCAGCCCATCACTCGCTCACAGGGCAACCGCTGTCTGACTCCCTTCGCTGCAGATGAACCTGCTCTGGGCAGCGCCATGCAGCGGGCACTGCCCCGTCTACTGCTTGTCTCGCCCAGTGGGGTTCGTCTTCATGTCATCTGTGCTGTATAGAAAACATTTCCGTAGCTCAGGCTTCACGCTGGTGAGTAGGGTTCCATTGCATACATGCACCCACTCATCGGTTTTATTGTTCATGTGCACTCGGGCCACACCCAGGGTTTGAGCATAATTAATAAAGGTGTAATAACAGCCTAGGTTCTTTTCAGGAACAGTGAGTACTCTTAGCCACAGACCTTTTCATTAGCCCCTCGAGCAAGACTCAAACAGGTGCGTTTTCATTGCTTTACACACATGCCTAATATCCTGCTGACCTTAGGACAGATGTTTTAAACAACTTAGTGTGTACACACAGAAATTCAGAATTGTAGATTTAAAAAACAGTTACACAGATTTATGGGGTACATCATGACATTCCAATATATGTATAATATGTAACTATAAGATAAACAACATACATGTCACTTTAAACATTTATATATTTTTTGTATTAGGATCATTTGGAGTCCTCTCTACTAAGTATTTTAAACATATAATTAAATGTTGCCAAAGGTTAGCCTTCCATATGATTAGTCTAAGAGCTATCTCCAATAGTAACAAGAGCCTTTGTCTTAAAGAGGCAGATGGCATCACCGAGCACGGTCAGGCCTGTCCTGGGCCTCGCACAGGTGTACACACAACGGTGCACACGAACATAAAACGTCATCCCTCCAATCTTCCTGATTATTGTACCCAAACAACCACTCTCCACCCCACCTCCTGCATACTTTCCCCAGGCTCTGGTAGGTGAGAACTATTCTATCATTAGCCCTAGCTTCCACATAGAAATGGGAATATTTAGTATTTTTCTTTGTGTGTGTGTGACGTTTCTCTTATAACACCCCTAAGTTCTATCCATATTACTACAAATCTCAAACTTCCATTTCCCAAGTAACAAGTTATACTGAGCCATTTTCATGTGTTTACTACACATTTCTATAATACCTTCTTCCGTGGCGTTTGTGCAAGCCTTTTATCATTTAAAATTGTTTTCTATGTTACTTAAAAAAAGTAACACTGTAGATTGCACTCAAGATGACACAAGTTCCCCACCGCAGAGTTGTAACTCGCTTTTTGTTTTTGGAATTAAAAAAAATTACTGAGATAAATTCATATATAAAACTCACCTGGTGATCTACTGTTAACTGGCTTCAGTGCCGTAAGTGCTATGTGAAATCATCAACACTAATTCTAGACATGTTTCTGTATTTTTTAATTTTAATTAACTAAAACTCATGTAGCATACAATTAACTATTTTAAGTATACAACTCAACATTCGTATATTCAAAATAGCGTGCAGCTATTATCTCTACATGATCTCATAACTTCCCTTTTTATTGCTGAGTTGTGGAAATTCATGAAGTTTTCTGGAAAAAAATTTTTGGCTGGACACACATATTAAAAATATTTCCCCAGCCAGGCGGTGGTAGCGCACGCCTTTAATCCCAGCACTTGGGAGGCAGAGGCAGGCGGATCTCTGTGAGTTCGAGGCTGGGCTGGACCGACAGCCTCCAAAACAATACAGAGAAACCCTGTCTTGTAAAAACCAAAAAAAAAAAAAAAAAAAAAAGAATATTTCCCCAATATAAGTATTTGGCTTTCTCTTTTTTAAATGGTATTATTCAGAAAACAAATTTTTCCATTTTGGTGTTTCCTTTATGTCATCAGCATTTCTGGGTTCTCACTAAGAAATCTTTGCTTGCCCTAAGGTTTTGAGACTACTGCTGCTTTTTTCTAGAAGCTTTGTAGTTTTAATTTTTACATAAGGCATCTATAATAGGTGTGACGTTGATTTTTGCATACAAAATGAGAGAAGCGCCAGAGAGTCTGGTTTTGTTTCTCTGTTTGGATAGCACTGTTACTGGTGCCATGTTAAACTTAGTTCTTTCTTCACTGTTGGTCACCCTTGTTAAAATCGTTTGATCATGCCAATTTCACTTCATTTCTAGATCCTCTATTTCAAAACTCACTATTTTATTCTACTATTCTTTAATACTTCTATGTCTGAATAACTACAATTGTCTTTTATGGTTAAAAAAGAAGAGTAAGTCCTTCAACTTTATTTCTGTTCTTTTTCCCAGGATGAAAAGTTTGGGTATTCTAAAATACTTCTTATTCTTTCTCAAAGTTTAGAATATAGAGACAAAAACATGCAGCATCTGGCATGGTGGCACACGCCTATAATCTCAGTTACTGGGAGGCTGAGTTTGAGGGAACCAAATCTACACAGTGAGTTCTCGGTCAATCAGGGCTACACAGAAAGAATGTTTCAAGACAACAGCTGGGCATGGCACTGCAAACCTGGGCTACATAATAAGACCTTGTCCAAAAAACCAAACTAAGCCAACAAAGCCCCTACACACACACAAAGAAAAGGGGGGCTTGGGATGGAGCTTAGACACAGGGCACTCGCCTACAATGCATGAAGTTTTGGGTTCAATACCTAATACCACACATGGGGGGGAGGGAAGGAGGAAGCAAGGAAACAAGTGGGGAAATAATTTTGATTATGTAGTAAAGTAATGTAAAAATCCAATATAATTTTCTCAAAAATGAATTCCTCCTTGGTTCTTCCATTTTTTAAAGATTAAAAAAACACAGCAAAACAACAAAAACAGAATAAATGAGATCCCTTGACCCCTGGTAAATATATCATTCTGGTCCTTTACAGAAGCTTATGTTTCTGATAACATGAATATCTCTACAAGATGGCAAATGTTATGGCTAACACATCTGAAAGCTGTACTCACTGTATTTAGTCTTTGTAAGAACAGAGCAATTCTCAGAACATGTATCCAGAACCATCCGTGGACCAAAGAGGTTAGGGCAACATTCCAGTTTGATACATGTTTGCCGGCAGAATTCAGTCACTCGATCTGCTGTCTTCACTATCTCAACAGTAGCTCGATAACTCTTTCCTTTATATCTACAATTAGAAAACATCAGGAGCCAAATTTATTCGACCAGTGATTACCCTAAGAAAAATGTAACGAAGTGTTCTGAAAACACTTTTACTTATCTTTCATAGTTGAAAGTTCTTTTTTTTCATGGTTTATTTTCATTCTATGTGCATTTATGTTCTGCCTGCAGGTGTATCTCTGTGAAGGTTTTGCAGATACCCTGGAACTCTACTCACAGACAGCTGTGAGCAGCAGTGTGGGTGCTGGGAATTGAACCTGGGTCCTTTGAAAGAGCAGCCAGTGCTCTTAATCACTGAGACATCCCTCTAGTCCCCATAATTTGAGAATGCTTAAAATAAAAAAGAAGTTCTACAGTCTGTACTCAAGTGTGGTACACTACAATTTGAAAATTAGGTTGCTTAAACACGAAAGACAAAGTCTTTGCTTTCTGTTCTTAGGTGAAAATATGTATTATGTATGTATGTGTGCATGCATTCATTTATTTATTAATTCATTTGAAGGATCAAACCAAGAGGCCTCAAACATGCTCTGTTCCCCAGCCTTGAAGAATTTTAAATACTACTTACACTAACTACTAAAAGAGCGCCTTTTATTAAATCCCCCTTTATCCTCAGAGTGTGGCTCAAGGATAATATGACATGCCAGCTGCCATCCAGCCACAAAAAAAGCTCAGGTCAGAAAGCAACAGTATATGTTTACAAATTTTCACATAAGTTTTAAATAATTATTTTCTATATTGTCACTCTAATAAAAAACGTTCTAGTGTTTATGTCTCTTAGAGTTTGTATGTCTTCTAAATCATTGTTTTCATAGGGTCCTTTACTAGGAACAGCTGGAGCAGCTTGGCTCTGCCAGCGTCAGGGAAGAGGAAAGGGTGAGGGCTCCACTCACTTGGCCTTTAGGACCTCCCCACATCCGTGCCACACAGACTCTTTGTCCAGCTGGAGCTCACGAAGGACGCGGCTGGGCTTGTAGGCTGCATTGATGAGTAAAGTGAGGACCTGAGATGGGTGAAGGCAGAAAGAAATGTAGGGTCAGGCGGAAGGAGAAAACTCAGACCATTAGAGTTTTAACACACTTGCTAGCTGTAAGACTTTTAAGAGCATTCTGGAGATTATTTCCAGTTAATATAAGAATGTTGCCGGGCGTTGGTGGCGCACGCCTTTAATCCCAGCACTCGGGAGGCAGAGGCAGGCGGATCTCTGTGAGTTCGAGGCCGGGCTGGACCGATAGCCTCCGAAACAATACAGAGAAACCTTGTCTCGAAAAAAACCAAAAAAAAAAAAAAAAAAAAAAAAAAAGAATGTTGACAAAATAATAAAATGCTAACTGGCTTGTTCTCAAGATTGCACAGCCTGCCAGGATCACGTGCCCAGAGGCAGCACTGCCCAGAGTACACTAGGCCCTCCCTTATCCATCATTAATCAATAAAATGCCCTAGAGACTTGCTGGTGGAAGCATTTTCTCAACTGAAGCTCTTCTTCCCAGATTACTCTAGCTTATGTCAAGTTGACAGAAAAACCAACTAGGACACTGTGCAGACATCAGCCTTCTGATGGCTAGAAGAGTCTGGTCTAGAAACTAGCCTCCTCAGGCTCTGCCTTGCCCTTCTGAAGACTGACAGGTTCAAGTTCTCAAATTTGTTACTGGAAGCCTGAGAAACAGCGTAATCATGAACTCTAGTTAATGCCACACAATCTCTTAAATTGAAAAACAGTCTCGCCTCAGCCTCCCAAGTGTTAGGATTACAGGCACGTGCCCCTATCACTCCCTTCAGTCATCCCATCACTGAGCTGACCCGGGACTGCTTTAAGTCTGAGCGTGAGTTCCAAGCACAACTCCCAGCAAGGCACCCTGCAGCCAGCCTGCTTGCTCCCGCATAGACAGTCTCGTCTCCTGCTGGCGCTTGGGCCATGTGAAGATGAGCCCTGATGCAACTTCACAGACTCCTGCTCCTACCTCATCCACGTGGGGTGGTGTCACAGAGCTTCCCAGCCCAAACCCTCCCAAGTCTAGTCTCCATGCAGCTGCTAGCCAGGGACCCCTCTAGTCAGTCGTGTGGTATAAAGACAAAAGTAACTTACTTATAACCTCTGGCACAGACCGTTCTAACTCTGCAGCTACTTGTGACAGATGTGTCAGCCAGGCCCACACATCCTGCCCTGTGGCTCAGTCTGGTGGGTCCACCTGACCCTATCTCTGCCTGATTCCTCCCCCAATCACAGACAACACATGAAACCACAATTTCTGAAACACAAAATACAAACAGAACACAAATAGCAAAATGAAATCCCCAAAATTACCCTTTCAATAATAACTTTAAATATTAATGGACTCAACTCTCAAAAGACACAAGCTGACGAATGGGTTATGAAACAGAGATCCAGATTGGGCACCACATTAAAGTAAAGACAGAAAAAGTATTCTAAGCATTGGGAGCAGGAAGCAAGCAGGCATTGCTATCCTAATATCTGACAAAATAGATTTTAAACTAAAACTAGTAAAAGAGAAAGACATTACTGCTGATCAAGAGTCAAGAGGGCAATCAACTCAAACACATATGTGCCAAAGTCTATGGAGTGCTCAATTTCATAAAATGCCTATTACTAGAATTAAAGACACCAATGAACACCAATCCAGTAATAGCAGGTGTTTTTCATACCTCACTGTCTCTGTGAGTCAGAACATATGGACAAAATATTAACAAAGAAACATCAGAACTAAATGACATCATACATCAAATTTGACCTAACTACTCTCTACAGAATATTACACCCAAACACTAAATAGGACACATTTTACTCAGCAGCCTACATCGTGAGACACAAAATAAATCTTAACAAAAATCAGAAGAACTGAAATACTTGTATGTCCTATCTGACCATAATGCAATAAAACTTAAACTTGACAACAAAGAAATATCTCCTAAGTAGATAAGCTCTCAAAGATTAAACTACTCATTACTAAATGATGAATGGATCAAAGAAGAAATGAAAAATTCCTGGAACTAAGTAACAAAATCCGTGGGACACATAAAAAGCAGCCCTATGAAGAAAACTTATAGATCTAAATGCCTACATTTAAAAAAAAATCATAAAAGGCACAAACAAGTTAGTTAGTGATGCAATTCAAGGATTTGTAAAAACAAGAAAAACAGTAGATGACAAGAAATAATAAAAAAAAATCTGAGCAGAAATGAATGAAACTGAAAGAGCACAAAGAATCAATGACTCCAAGAGCTGGTTCAAAGGTAAACAAGACTGATGGCCCTGCAGAGTCACGGGCACACATCACAATACCTAGCTATGCCAGCCTCCTCTACAGTCTTTAGAAAGAGGTGAACCCATCTGAAGACTTGCTTGGGTGAATGCTCCCTGAGGAGCAGAGACAATCATGTTACAATTTACCATGTAGGACAGTAGTGCCCAGCCTCAACTGTGATTTTGTGTTCTGAGTTGCAGCCACATATGATCCACAGTAGTCCAAAACCTATGTTAAGCTGCACACCATTTTGAGTGTGCTGATGAAGTATTGTACCATCCTACTCATGTATGGGAATTATCTCCGCCTACTGTGTCAATGCTATGCACATCATCTACAGCCTCTTAGTAGCTATGCCAATTAGCAGATTAGCCTTGAGATTTCACAGTGCATGTCATGGCTCAACAATCCTTAACATAGTCTAATGTCACAGCACCCATCGTGTGACACTGATCTGATCTTACTATAACAAGTACAAGGTACATCTCAGTAAGAGCATATGAAAGACGACTTTCATACAACATTTAAATTATTAAATTTGTTATTGTTGTTAATCACTTACCATGTCTAACTTACTAAATAAATTTTATCATAAGTGTGATGGTTTGGACACAGCTTGAATATGCCGCCCCCCCCAAAAGCTCATGTCCACAGTATGATGGATATAAAAAGTGACAGAATTCTTATGAGGTGAGCATGTCTGTGAGGGAATATTGTGATTATGTTGACCAGCCTAAAAGTGAGTAGCACCACTCCCTGGGGTTGGGTCCTGGGTGTGCAAGGAGGAGGAAGCCAGCCGAGCACAAGCATGTACACATCCATCCATTCGCCTGCTCTTGACTGTGGCGCATGGGAGCAACTGTCCCAAGTTGCTGCTGCCTTGACTTCCTCTCAGTGATGACTTGCAATCTACATTGTGTGTTTTGTCCCATTTTTTTCTTTTTTTTTCCCTGGGGGGATTACAGCAAGAGCAAATGAAATTAGAGGTCCTCAGAAAAATTGGAGACAAGACCTCAGAGGGGACAGTAGGTCTCCAGTCTCTCTCAAGCTGCTGCTGCTTCTTCTGCCTTTTTTTTTGTTTTGTTTTGTTTTTTCGAGACAGGGTTTCTCTGTATTGTTTTGGAGGCTGTCCCGGAACTCACTCTGTAGACCAGGCTGGTCTCGAACTCACAGAGATCCGCCTGCCTCTGCCTCCAGAGTGCTGGTATTTAAGGTGTGCGCCACCTCTCAAGCCTATCTGTCAACATGATTCTTCCTCTCATATATAGTTCTCATTAGGATTTGAGAGGCGAGAGGAACTTCACCATAAGCCAAACTGATAGGGGAACTTGGTCTTAAACTTTTTAGCCTCTAAAACTATGTATTAAATAAACCTCTTTTTCTTTATAACTAACCTCCCTCAGGTATCCTGTTACAAGAACAAAAAAGTATTAGTACATATAGGAAGAAAAACACAGAATCTATAGTGTTTGGTAGTTTTCACATTTCTAGGTACTACCTGAAGTCTTAGAATACATGAGAAATTAGCTATATTTGATTAAGCCTATAGCTGTTATATCAATGGCACATGGTTCTCTGCATATATGAACCTAGGAGACTACTCTTCAATTTCCAAGCTCTGCCCTAGGTCATGACCTTACCTCTCTAAGTACCAGAACACAGTTCCCAGGTCCTACACATCGAGGCAGCTCAGCAATTCTTCCCTTGTTAAGATATGGCCCTGAGAAGCAACGGTGGTTGAAGTATATCTTTGGACAGCAATATTTCCCATTGATCATCACTGGAAATGAAGAAATAAGGACTCAAGGTAGTCATTCTCACTCTATTCCATGGGGTAGCAACCAGCATACACAGCATCATATTCATGTGTGTGTATACATGCTATGCAGGTTTGAGTGACATTCCCAACCATGGAAATACATCTTTTGAAGCTCAACATACTGTCTGACAATTCTCTTAAATATCTTACTTTATACTAGATTACAGAGCTTATCATTACCCTGAACTACATATGTTGTTTAACTCCTGGGTTATGTGACACAAATCTAGAGCCCCACACTTCGGGTAAAGGAAGTGGAGGACCAACTCCATGAACCCACTAGTCTTGATGGTCAGTCCTTCCTTTTCTAGTCCTTCAAATATCAACTATTCAGTAATCTGTTCTATAGTATTCCTAGATATAAATGTTGATCATTACCCAGACTTGCAGCTTGTCTTCCAAGCCCTACCTTAATTAATACTACAAATGTACAGGGGCTTTTGGTTTATTTTATTTCAAGATAAGAGTTTCACTATGTAGCTCTAGTTGGCCTAGAGTCTTATGTATAGACCATTCTGACCTTGAATTTGAGGTTATCCTCCTGAGTTTTATCTCCCAAATGGTGGGAACACAGACATGTGCTACCAACACTTGGCTCAAATGCATTCTTTATTTCCAAGTACAGGCCATTAAAAGGTAACCAAGGATCTCTTTTCCACAATGTCATAAATACTGTACCTGAGTGTGTGGAGTTCAGCTGATTCTTCAGGCCCCCATGGACAGTTCTTGAAGACAGTATTCTGGGTCAAGAAAAACAAAGGGAAAAATTAGTGAAATTACCTTTAATACCAGGAAAGTCTACAGGTTAGTTTCCTTCAAAAAAGCAAATGGGGCAAGCTGTAAATCTAAAATAGAAGAATGCTCTTAACTCATAAACTCATAAACATTATTTTTAAAGTAGAAATTGTTTTTAAAACCATGGAGAGGACACATGAGCCAACAATCTATAGACATGATATTAAATGTTCAGAAATTATAAAAATATATTAGAGAATCTGTAATTTCATGGGGGGTTTTGATTGTTCTTTGAGACAGGTGCTGGCATATATCTCTAGCTGATCTGGTACTCAAACTCATGGCAACCATTGTACCTCAGCCTCTGGTTTCCTGAACTGCAAGCATGCCCCACTATGCCTGCTTTTGTTGTCTTTAAAGCATTGTGCCCAATCTTTCAGCTGTGTAACTGCAAGCAGTTGACATTAGTGCTTTGAGGACAGGATGTGTCTGACTCGATATAGTTAAGACTGCAAAACTGCTCAAGTCTATGACTAGAATAAGGCTGTGTACAGGGTGGGAGGGTGGATTTGGGGAAGTATAAAGGGGACCAGTGGGGGCTTTCATAATGATCACAATGCATTCATTAAATTGTGATGTATTTCTTAAAGTCAAAATCAGAAACCAGTAATGAGGCTGCTCATGTAATCCTGGTAAGAAAAACTCTGTTTAAGTATAAATAAAGATGGCTTGAGCTATTTTGGGGCCACTTGAGTGAGATCTACTTGGTGGTCAGAAATTTTCCTTGTACCAACCCCCCTTCCCACTCTTAGGACCTGAACGAGAGCCGAGGCTGGACCCTGGGTACTCAAGTAAATTATTCAGTTTTTCAGTCACATAACAAAAATGTTTCCTGTGTATGTTTATGTATATTGATGTATTCATGGGTAAAGAGGCCAGAGGTCCACTCAGGGACCACATTTTTTGAGACAGGGTCCCTTACTAGAGCCTGGGATGACCAATTCAGCTAGACTGACTGGGTAGCAAGCTCTAGAGTCTGCTGCTTGTCTCTGCCTCCCTATCAGTGGCATTCCAAGGGCACCATCATGCTCAGTTTTTATTTGGGTCTGAGGATCAAACTCAGGTCTTCATGATTGGCCAGCCAAGCACTTTACAAAGTAAGCCATCTCCTCAACCACCCAGAAACATTTCTCATATAGTGTCTGTCTGTCTGTCTGTCTGTCTGTCTGTCTGTCTGTCTGTCTCTCTCTCTCTCGTATGCGTGCGTGCGTGCGTGCATGCATGCGTGCGTATGTGTGTGTGTGTGTAAATTTAAAACACCAGAGATGCATTCTACTTGAAGAAATCCTGAAAATATTTTCGAGCCTTTTAAAATGCTTCAGGACTGACACTTTGACTTGACCTTATCAAAATCCAAGGCTTTTTTTTTTTTTTTTGTTACTGCTATCTCACTTATGTACCAGGGATAAAATTCTATGGCCTCTCTCTTTACTTCTATTGTCAGTTTTATTACCTACATAGGTACAAAGGTATAGATTATTTACTAGGTCATTACAAAAGTTGCTAGAGATGGAACTGTGCCCCTCAAAATTCATTTATTCAAACCCTAACCAACAATGTAACTAATTGCCTATGAAGGCCAAGCTTTTAGGAGATAATGAAGAGTTCCTTAGAACTTATTAGATCCTACAGTGGGATCATGAATAGCCTTATAAGAAAGGGTAAGACAAGGAGCGATCTTCACTGTGGGAAGTCCTACATACAAGGTGTCCGTCAGTATGCCAGGAAGCAAGGCCCTGAATGGAATCAAATCAACTGCCATTTTGATCTGATGATTACCTAGCTTCTAGAATATGAGAAAATTAGCTTCTGTGGTTCAATTCACCCAGTCTATGGTAATTTTGTATGGCAGCTTATTAGATGGGTTCAAAGGAGGAATGTAGCTTTTCTTTTCCAGTTGCTGTTTTGTACATCAAGATACTATGACTTACAATTCTTGTTCTTCTCTTACAAATATCTCCCTTCTTTTATTCAAATGGGGAACATCTTGAGGATATAGTTGCCCTTTTGTATATAGTAAGAATTTGGTTTTGAGACAGGGTTTTATTCATAACCCTTGCTAGCCTGGTACTCACTATATAACCCAGGCCTACCTTAAATGATCCTGCTGAGTCAGCCTTTAAAGTAGCTAAGATGACAGACATACACCACCATGATTCATTTTATAATTCAATTTTAGGAAAGGAGTACACTGAGAGAAATATATAAGCTATCAAATTTGACTTACAAGTTTATGCTTTCATGTGAGAAAATAACACAAAGGACATATGTTCTCCTCTATCAGTTATTCCCCAAGATATTCTAAGTTTAAAACCTGAACTGTTTAGACAGCTATTACATTACTTACTGTTTTTCTGGTTGAACCACTGCGATTTTCCTCTGTTTATGCACTGTATTAGGGGAAAAAATGCCAAAAAATTTAAAGACAAAGGCAAAGACTTAAGCTTGTAATCATCTTATTTGATACCTGGTCGTATATAAATAATGAGCAAGTACTTTTAAATTAGTCTTTAAGTGTCAAATTCTTTGGGTTTTTTGTTGTTGTTGTTGTTGTTGTTGTTTGAGACAGAATTTCTCTGTACTGGCTGCCCTAGAACTCAAACTCACTCTGTAGACTAGGCTGGCCTCAAACTCACTAAGATCTACCTGCCACTGCTGGGATTAAAGGCGTGAACCACCACTGCCTGGCTAAATATCAACATTCTTTTTTTTGGGGGGCGGTTCTGAGACAGGGTTTCTCTGTGGCTTCAGAGGCTGTCCTGGAACTCGCTCTGTACACCAGGCTGGTCTCGAACTCACAGAGATCTGCCTGCCTCTGCCTCCCGAGTGCTGGGATTAAAGGCGTGTGCCACCACTGCCTGGCTTTAAATATCAACATTCTAACTAAGGAACATTTTTCTTGGTTGGAATCTTCTTAGAAAAAAACAAAAAGAATACTTTCAAGTATCACTAGGCTAATCAACACCTACAAATACTTCAACAGAATAAACATACTGACCGAAAAGAAAGGCTCGTCTGATGAGGACCCTAGGACCAGTTAATGGTACAAAGCTAGACTCTTACTTACATCATATATAAAAATGAAAGCAAATTACTAAACACAGAGATAAAACTTCAAAACTCTCACATATGACAAAAAGTTCACAGTACTGAATTTGTAGAACCATTCTTGAATATGACAGTTAAGAGCAGAGGTGATAAAGGAGTCAATGAATTACACTGGAACACATTAAAACTAAAAACGCGTGTGTAAAAAGAGAAATAAAGGGTGGATAAGATGGCACTGTGGAGCCGGGCGTTGGTGGCGCACCCCTGTAATCCCAGCACTCAGGAGGCAGAGGCAGGCGGATCACTGTGAGTTCGAGACCAGCCTGGTCTACCGAGCGAGTTCCAGGACAGCCTCCAAAGCCACAGAGAAACCCTGTCTCGAAAAACCAAAAAAAAAAAAAAAAAAAAAAAAAAAAAAGATGGCACTGTGGTAAGGGCCTTGCCACGAAGTCTGACAACCTGAGTTTGATTCCAGCAGTCACTTGGAGGAAAAAGAGAATCAATTCCCAGAAGTTACCCTCTGACTTCCATGTTTATGCAGTGCATGCACACATAATTGTTGGGGAAGTCTTATGCTAATAAAGCACTGTCTGGCCAATAGGAATCTAGATAGGTGGGGCTAGGAGTCCAGGAGGACTCTGGGTAGGAGAAACACGAGGGGTTCGAGATGTAACCGCCATTGGGGTAGGAAGCCTGGAACTATTCTCCAGTAAGAGACATACTTAGATTAACAATTATGGGGTAATTACTTAAGTCAGAGCTAGCCAGTTAGAAACAAGGAAGGCCAACAGCTTCATAATTAATATAGCCTCCTGTGTGTTTATTTGGGACTCATGCGGATCTAGAACCAGGCTGGCGCGGCAGAGCCCAGGCGACTGGCGGGGGATAAACCAAAGCGGCTAGCAAAAGAAAAAGCTTCCCGTAACACATAATAAATGTAGAAAAAAACAACCTCCACATAACCAAGAGAGTGACGGGGCTGGAGAGATGGCTCAGCAACTAAGAACACTTGTTCTTACATAAAACTTGGTAGGCAGAGATAGGCAAATCTGAATTCAGGGTCACCTTGGTCTACATCATGAGTTCTAGCCAAGTAAGAGTCATCTACATAGTGAGTCCTTGTCTCCAATTTAAAAAAAAAAAGGGGGGGGGGGGCTACCTCATTCCAATAAAAGCCAAATGCCAGTTTCTGAGCTGTTCTATGAAGAGATCCATTTGGCAAAGAATTTTAGCCAATGGTCAGCAAAGAACTAAGTTCCTTGGCTCAAAAGCCTATGGAAATGAATTCCTGCTGCTGCTGTCTGACTGTACTCTCAAATTTATTCTGACACCTGCTCACCACATTGGTGAGGCATTCGATAGGTGACTAGATGGTAAAGACAGACCTTTCATGAGTGGGATTAGTACACCCACAGAGGATGCCCCAGGGAGTAGCAGTCTGTTTCAGCAATGTGTAGACACAGCAAGAACATCTCTGAGCTGGAGACAAGGCTCAGAGGTTACGAGTACTTGCTGCTCTTGCACAAGACCCTGGTTTATTCCCAGCCCCAACATGGTAGTTCACAACCATCAAGAACTCCAGTTCCAGGGACTCTGATATGTTCTTTTGAACCCAGAGGACAACAGGTACCCACATGATACACATACATGCAGGAAAAACACTCATTTATGTATGATAAAAATTTTTAAATCTAAAACAGATTTTTAAAAAGAGGCCTCATCTAGGAAACAGAAAACAAATCCTAGTATCTGCTAACAGCCTCTCGCTTGAGTTTCCTAGCCCAGTGACAATAGGTGTGTTACTTTACAGAATTTTGCTATCGAACCCAGATGGAGTAAGACACTTGCCAATAATCATCTAAATAACCATGGGGAGAGGCTCTCCAGTTCAAGCCCTAAGACAATACCTGCCCTGGTAGAAACCTCTATTACAGTTTGTGAGAAATCAAAATTACCTAATAAAAGGCTGTTGCAATAAATAACTGCCTACACAAAAAGATAGTATCTTTTGATTTTTCCCTCAAATGTCTACATTCATCCTAATTGTTGCACCTGTGCAAGAGATCGTTTCTGGATTAGATCACCCGCTAATCCAGAAATAGACAAATACCTCGTGCCCGGCGAGGAGTACTGAGAGGATGGCCGTTGGATTCACACCAGCCCAAAGGAAATATATCCATTGACTCCACACTTACAATAAATTCGGGTATAGGTTTCTTAGAACCTGTTAGATTAAGAAAACAAAATTTGAACTATTAGACAGCTTCCTTTATAAGTTTCTTTATGTTGTTTGTTTCTTTAGTTTTTGAGACGGGGGTCTCACTAGGTAACATAGACTACCTTTGAAATAGTGATCCCCCTGCCTCAGCCTTCTAAGTGTTGTGACTATAGGCATTGTATAACCATGCCCAGTCCTACACATTACTTTTTAAACAACACTGTAATAATATAGACACAATTCTCTTAAGCAATAATTTCTCTTATGGGAGCCATATAGTTTATGTTAGGTAAATGCTCTGAAAAAAAAAATAAGTTGCCTTCCATATGTAACTTGTAAGAATCAAGAAAGAAGTAAATACACAGAGTAACTTTGGCAAAGGAGCCGAAAAGCAGCAACCGTGGCTGTGACTGGTGTCATTTGGGAGGGCAGCAAGTGTCACAGGCCATTTCCTTGAGCAAAACATCAAATATACTTTTAACTACCAGGACTAATGTCTTGCATTCTTGGACTAACCCTGAATGTGGAATGATGAATTTAACCAGGGAAAGATCTGCCAAGTAAACACTGTCCTTAACATCCGCACTACAGGCCAGTTCTACACATCAGAGACAGAAGGCATCTTTTTAGAGATTATTTGGCAACGGGATAAAAAAAGCAAGCCAGGTACAACTGCTGCAGCACTGAGCATTTACTTAGCTTCATCAACAAATCTGCCCAATCACTTAAGTATTACTCTGAGAAAGACAAATCACATCTGTCTACATTCTATTTGGTTCTATTGAGGCAACCAAAATATATCTTATTTTGACTTGCCATTATGAAAATAAAGGACTTTAAAGAGCTTTTATTGACTTTCATTTCCTAAAATTTAAAAGCCAAGAACAAAAAAGTGTGCTTAAAATCTTGGATTTCAAATTCTATCACTGTTTAGCAAGCCACACTACAGGAATGAGCAGGAAGAGCGCAGGAATGGCCACAGGAAACGTGTCAGGGGCGCTGGTCCTGACCTTCCAGCTGGAGCCACAGGTAGGAGCCTCTCACTGCAGTGACGCTGGCAATGCACACTTCTTCAGGGAGAAGAGGGTTCACGGCCTCCAGCTTCATGTTCTTCTTAAACTGGTGCTCAGAAACTGACTACAATAAAACCAATGAATCAAATTCATTAATTAGATTAATACCTAGTATTAACACGTGCTCTACTGGAATGTTTTGTAAGTGGTATTTAATCCCTAGATTTATAGTAAAGCAATGAGTACATTTTGTTCTGTTTTGCTTTCAAGGAAGCAAAAGGAAAATAGGAGGAAACAATTTTTAAGATATAATTGCTTTCCTTCCTGATAACTCATTAAAAATTACTGTTGATTTTTGGGAACATAAACATAGGGCTGTCTAGATGAGCTCAGTAGATAAAGATACTTGTCTGGTTCTCAGAACCAACAGGGTAAAAGGTAAAAAAAAATCAGCTCCCACAAATTCATCTCTCCATGTGTGCCATGACTTGTGCACATGCACACACAAAATAAAAACGTAAATTGAGAAACAAAACAACGACCTGTAGGATGCACATAACAAGAGGTAAACACAAGTTGGCAGTGAACAGAGTCAGCAGCTGTCAGAACAGGACTGATGTAAGTGGGGCAGAAGAGAAGAGGCCTAAACCAGGTATGGAGGATCTCATGTCTCAGACGGGTCTCATGTAGCCCAGGCTGACCCCTAACTCTTGCTACATGCAAAGATGTGACCTTCACACTGATCCTCCTACTATGCCTCCCAGAGCTGGGATTTCGGGGGTGTACCACCACACCTGGTTTGTAACTCTGAAGACTAACTCAGGGTTTCACAGGCACTAAGCAAGCGCTCTAGAAAGGTACTGAGCTACATTCCCAGCCCCTCGTTTGTTTAGAGTTAAGAACAAGATGCTTTTTGAGATGGGGGGGTGGTCTTAGGTCTTACTATTTAGAATGGCTGGCTTCCCATTTACATCAATCCTCCTGCCTCAGCCTCCTAGAGCACTGGAATTACAGATGTGTCCCTTCATGCTTGGAGGACCTTTTTCTTTCCTTTCTTCTTTTTTTTTCCAGAAACATTTAAAAAGCATTTACATTATGCCATTATGTATTATTACATACCTCAGGGCAACTGTGTCTTTCCCTTCCCTACAGAAAGTGAGATTTATTCTCTGGAAAAGATAAAATACAAGATCTTTGGGCAGGAGGACACAAACAAGTGGTAAGGGTGTGTGTGGTGAAGGCCCAGCCGTAGCCTCTGTAATATCAGATGGGGACAGGAAAAGAGCTTTCACAGTAACAGGACAACACATAAAGATACAATTTAACTTTTCTCAATAAATGGTCAGCCAGATCCCACTCTGTAGGAAAAATCAAGGTTGACAAACCCCATCTAAACATGCTCAAAGTTTCTAATCAATTTTTTTGTTTTACTTTCCCATTCTTAAATGTAAACAGTAACGTAGAAAAATCAGATGTTTCAGAATATAAAAGTTACAGACAAAACCAGCAATTGGAGAAAGCGGAGAGCACACAAGGAAACATTCAAACTAGTAGTGTTAATTAACATCTACTGGGAGACAAGAAAAACTATTTCATACTTAAAGAATAGTGCACCATTAAAAACTATAGAGCTTTGATGGTGCATGTCTTTAATCACAGCACCTAGGAGGGAGAAGCAGATACAGCTCTCTGTGAGTTCAAAGCCTATCCTGTCTACATAGTGAGTTTCAGGCCAGAAAGAACTATAGAGACCCTGTCAAGTGATACTCTGCTTCAAAACACTAAACAAAATAAAGAACTACTCAAAGATAAGTAGTTCTGAAAAACAAAAAATAAAGTTTAACAAATTAAAGACTTGGGGCTGGAGACATGGGTTAGGGACAAAAGCAATTGCTACTTTAGCAGAGGGTCTGGGTTTGGTGCGGAGCCCACACGGTGGTCACCTCCAAGGGATCTAAAGCCCTCTTCTAGCCTCTGAGGGCACCAGATGCACATAAACACAAAACACACAGACATAAAACAAATGCATTTTAAAATAATTTAAAAACAGAACTCATAATCCCAACACTTGGTAAACTGAGGCAAGAGGATTACCATGAGCCTTGGGCCTCCTAGTGAGTCTGAGGTCAACCTGGACCACACAGTGAGAGTAAATCTCAAAAAAAAAAAAAATCTGTAAACTTGTTTGTTTTTTTCTTTTCTTTTTTTCTTTTTTTTTTTTTGAAGCAGGGTCTGAAAAAAAAAATGAAGCCCTAGTTAGTCTGGAACTCACTATGTAAACCAGGCTGGCCTTGAACTCACAGAGATCCATCTGCTTCTGCCTCACAGCTACCAGGACTAAAGGCGTGCGCCACCAGGCTCTGCTGAGATTCTATATTTTCTATGAGAGGAAAAAAGGCAGGCTACCTGCAACTTTACACAAGGGGGAGAAAAAAGGCAAGTTCATTTACAAAAAGTTAAGAATAACCTGTCTCAAACAACAACAACAAAAAGCCAAGAGTAAAATTGTCATTTGACTTAAAAAAAAAACACACTAAAAGACAAATGAATAATGTTTTTTAAATTCTGAAGTAACGTTCAACCTAGCTTTCATATTAAAGCGAAACTGTGAGTATGTCGGTAGGATGAAACTTTCAATATATAGAATTTATTAAAATTTACATAGTCTTTACAACTGTGTTTTAAGAAGCAATAGCAGGCTCCATCGAAACAGCCAAGCACGGGGCTGGAGAGAATGAATAGCACTTGCTGTGAAAGCAAGAGGACCCGAGTTCACACCCTCAGTACTCGGAAAAAGCTGCACATGACGGTGGTGCCTGCAATGCCTAAGCTGCAGTGCAGAGGGCAGTGGATGCCACGGGCTCTCTGGAAATGGGCAGCCTGTCAGAAACAGAACTTCATGCGCAGTGACAGGCCTGCCTTTTAAAACCTGGACAGAAACAAGACGACACCCAACATCCCCTTTCTGGCATTTGCATGTGCACATATGTCTGTCTGTCTGTCTGTCTCTGTCTCTCTCTCTCTCTCTCTCTCTCACACACACACACACAACCAAGAAAACCAAGAAGAGAGGAAAGAGGTCATGAATTATATATACATAATAGAAGCTCCAAGTCATAAGAAGGGAGAGGGAAATTCCCTGTTGTGATAGTGACAAAACTATTCAGCAAGTCTCAAGAGAGCAGCCTTTCCAGGGAGGAAAAACCATTAGGAACAATGATCTCCGGGTGGACTGCCTTTGTGGAATTAGTAACAAGAAGCTACTACGAGGTGTGGGAAGAAATAGTAATAAACACAAAGAACATGAACCAAGTAACAACAAAACAGCAATTATTAACATGGCAAATGTTTTAAAAAGGAAAACAGTCACAAAATACCGCAGCAGTAAGCTAGTAGAGTTTAAATGTAAAACTTTAACTGAAACTTCATCAAAACTAATAGTGATGATTAAGACAGAAACATTTAATGTCACCAACGTCAAGTGTTTAAAATTAATACCTCAAAAGAGTACAGCGTATCATTTTGAAAATAATGAGGTATAAATATAAGAATTACAATGAAAGAAAAACAATGGGTCACTGTATAAACTAAGTTCATGGTCTCTCCAAGGTAAGGCTGAGGGGTCTCACCGGAGGGAAGCACTTCTGGGGAGCAGCTTCAGCGCCACACTGTTTGAGGTAGTCAGCCCAGTCAAAATCCTGGCTCCGGAAGCCTACAGACAGAGAAGCGCAGCGGTTCACTCCCAATGCACTTCCTGACTAGCATCTGCCAACGTGTCCATTCACAACTCCTCATGCTGCTAATTTATGTACTTTTACCAGTGTAGAGGGGACCTCTATAATATAAGCCATAATTAATTACTATTTTTCATACTAGGTAACTGAACCCAGAATTGTACACAGCTTATTTTCTAAACCAGAATAACTCTGGGAAAATTATAATTATGTAATAAAATTAAATAAGTATTGAAACTTCCAAATTTCAAACTAGGTACTTTTTCTTTATTTAAAAATTTCTTTCTTCCTGTTACATACTAACCCCGGCCAGTTGCCCCTCCTTTTCCTTCTCTCGCCTCACCACCGCTCCCTCTTCCTACCTCCCCTCCCCATCCACTCCTCAGAGGGGGTAAGACCTTCTTTGGGGAGGCAACAATGTCTGGCATACCAAATTGAGGCAGAGCCAAGGCCCTTCCCCTGTATCAAAGCTGAGCAAGGTATCCCACAATAGAGAATGGGCTTCAACAAGCCAGTTCATGTACCCGGAATAGGTCTTGGTCTCACTGCCGGGGTCTCCCCACCCCCACACCAAAGATCAAGCATCATAACTGTCACCCTAGTACAGTCCCATGCAGGTCTCCTAGCTGTCAGTCCGTAGTCCGTGAATTCCCACTAGCTCAGGTGGGACTAGTTACTGACAATTTGCCAAGACTTTAAAAGAAAAAAAAAGCCTGGAATTGATTTTGTATATAAAAATTTAGTCTTAATGATTTTATTAGTACTTTTTAATCAGTGGGGACTTTTTGTTGATAAGGCTATTTGTTTTCCCTAACATATCTTAGCTAATACCAATATAATGTGTGTGTGTGTGTGTGTGTGTGTGTGTGTGTATGTGTGTTTTTAAAGACAGGGTCTTAAGTAGTTCAGGGTATCTTGGAATTCATGTAGCCAAGGCTGACCTTGAACTCTTGACCCTTCTGCCTCTACTACCTTGCAAGTTCTAGGATTACAGGAACACACCACCACACCTGGCTCTGCTGCAATACTCATCACATTGTTTTCAGATCCATGGACTAGAGAATCTAATATTCTCAGGGACACAGCTGGACAGGAGGGATAATTTTTAATGTCCCTGATTTACGTCTGACAAGATTACCTGAACATCTCCAACTTCTAAGAGACAATTTTCACTGTCCACAACACAAGGAAGTATTATATCTGACAGATATGTCCACTATGCCAACCTGATCATTATTCATTAAATATATGTATTATAATACTACCCTGTACTCCATAAATGCATATAGTATGTGTCAATTAAGAAAACATTTGAAAAATCTAAATGTTCTCCTATGATCTGAATCATAAATTCAACTCAGACTAAAATAAACAACTCTCTAGTTTCAATCTATCAAGGTTCTTGGCAAAAACACCTCCAAACTAGTGTCTTATTCCACTCCATCTGTGTGGGAGGAGCTACATGGTTGCTGTCCACTTTTGTCTAAATTTTGCTGTCTCAGAGTTTAATCAGGCTCAAAGCTGTGTCCTCCTACAGGCAACAGTCCATGCTATCCTCTTTCTTGCCCAAACAAAACAGGCCTCAGCTCTCCTTCATATATGTGTAAGTGTGTGCATACGTTGTGTGACTGGGAATTGGACTCTGGACTTGTGCAGAAGCAGCTGATGCTTTCAGCCACGGCCCCACTGCTTCAGTTACATAGGTCACTACCTGCCCTCTTTACAAGTTCAGCTGACTTGTCCACACTATGCCCAAGGCTCCTATGTCTTTAACACTGTCTTCTCCTTTTCACACAAAGGTGGCAAGCAGTATAAAGAACCTGGAACACCTGCACCTCCTGCAACACATCAAGTTCCCAGCATCAGGGTTCAAGGCTACACTCCCCACCAGTGCTCCTTGTGTTCTGCTCACTGAGGGTGGAGAGCCAGGGAAATTCTGTGGATGCTTTCTCCCATATGCCTCTTGAAAGACTAGATTATACTCATTTCTGCTTTCTCAGTGATGAAATTCAACACAAGTTCACAACAAACATTGCATAAATTTTTTTTTGGATGAATGAAGGCTGGGTAGAGGACAGAGGTTCTGAGTTTATGATCCTTGCTAATATGAGTGCTTCCAATACAAAGTCTTCAGCAGTCAGCATTCAGGAGAAGCCTTGCTTACCAAAGCCTACCAAGTCAAAACAATCTGGTTTGCTAGTATAAGCAAAACTACCATCTAACATTTTCCAGATATTTCAAATTTTAATACTAAAAATTCCAGTCAAATTCAGTGAAATCTTATTTCAGTCCTTTGGTTAGAAGGTCAAATGTCACATTTGACAAAGTCACAAGAAGTAAAATGAGCTGTTACTACTCATTTTAGATCCTTTGTTTGTTTGTTTGTTTGTTTCTTTTTAATTTTTTGAGACAGGGTTTTTCTGTGTAACAGTCCTGGAACTCACTTTGTAGATCAGGCTGGCCTCAAATTCACTGAGATCCACCCCTTCTGCCTCCTGAGCTGAGTACTGGGATTAAGGTGAGCAGGAAAAACCTCTGAGGAAGCCAGGTCTACATAGCTCAGGGTTTGTCAAGCCTACTGTGATAACCAGTTTCTGTCAACCTCAACATAAACATGGACATATCTAGGAAGAGAGAATCTCAATTAAGGGATAGCTTCCATCAGACTGTTCTGTGGAAGAGTCTATAAGGCATTTTCTTGACTAATGATTAATGTGGGAACTGCCACCCCTGGACAGGTAGTTCTAGATTGTATATGAAAAGCACTCTGAGCAAGTGATAAGGAGCAAAGCATTAAGAATTCCTACATAGTCTAATTCCGTCTCTGCCATGAGTTCCAGCCTGAACTTCCTTCAGTGATGGGTTTCAAGTATAAAATGAAATAAACCTTTTCTTCTCCAAAGTTGCTTTTGGTCCATGTCTTACCACAGCAACAGAGAGGCAAACTAGACACCCACCCCTCTGACACCTCCCAACAGATTCCAAATGGAACAGACTAGGGAGCAAGAACAGAATCCAGACCTGAGACTGTTCTTCTAGCTGGCTATAAAAATACATGTCAAAGTATGAGAAAACAACACTTTAGCTTGTGACTTCAAATATCACAGTAAGACCCTTCATCCTTCCTCAATAAATAAATAAATAAAATTATGGAAACTATATCTCATTCACCTTATCTTAGACCTCCATCATACTCAAGACATGAGGTATGAAAGATCTTAGCAATGCCTTCCAACACACATTTCAAGGGCTAAAGTTTGTAAATGAGGAACCTAAAATTAACATGGGTCATAAAGTGAGTGTGAGGACACACTCAGCTACATAGTGAGACCCTACATAATTAATTATGGTAATAATAATTTTGAGAAACAACACAGAAGAATTCAAATCCACACCTGGAGGAGGGTTGATGTGTAAGCCATTCTTGAGACTCCACTGCACAGGAAAAATGCCAGGACTGTTAGCATGGCAAACAAATGATCGTCTTGTATGGTCCTCTGGTCGAAGGTCGTCCATTTCCACCAGAAAGTACTTATCATCAAAAACCTGTATAATTAACAGGTAAAATTGACACACGGCCTATGCATATTATATATAATATATATTAGGTATGTATATGCACAAACATATATCTATCACAGATTTTTTTCCTTAGCACAAACATGTTACTTAAGTTTATTTATAGTCACACTAGGTTATTAAAATACTCAATAAATGTTAGTTCTATGTCATGTACTATTTTAGTTACGTATCTTTCACATATTTACTCAGTTTTACTCTTTGTAACAATCTAATGAGGCAGGTACCATTTTCAATTACATTTTTCAAGTAAGAAAAATGGATTCAAAGAAAAGTAAAGTAATTTAACTTAAACTGCAAACCTGAACTCAAACCAAGTATTTGGGTTCAAATCAAAATTTAGTTTAAGCTTAGTAAGGGGTCAACTACATTACTATACTATCTTCAAATGACAAAGTAAGAAGTTAAGGAGTGTCGTCTGGGTCCTAAGCAGACCATTATCTCTTAGACTCCAGAGAAGATTGGTAGGTCTTGGTCTCAGTCTCTATCTCTCTTTCTCTGTGTGTGTCTCACATGTGTGTCTATATATGCCACACAGGTGTAGGTGCCCAGGAGACCCTGACACAGTAATTACAAATGGTTATAAGCCACATGACGTGGATGCTGGGAGTTAAACTGGTCTCCTGTTAAGAGCTTGTAGCCACTGAGTCATTTCTTTAGCTTCCAGAGAAGATCTTAAGACGACTTACAGGCTCAAAAATCTCTTAGTGCTCTGAAAATAATCTTGCACAAACACAAAGAAAATGTAAATCTCATCAAGTCGGAAAATTAAATGTCCTAGTAATTACCCCATAGTTATAATCCACCTTGAGCTCGACGTCCAGAAAATGGCTTCTTCTTTCATCCTAACCCAAATACTCTCTATTCCACAGTAACCGCACCTTGAAAATATGTTCAGATCCTATGCTTACTATTAATAAGGGCCTTAATTTTGTCAGATGTTGCAGAGATTAAAGCCTGGTTCCAGAACACACAGCTGTAGCTACTCTAGTGGTGATGCTAACTCTGTGATTCCACATTTCTCCTATGCCCCCAAACCCTTTCCCTGGTTAGGTAAGTGATAGCACCGCCTAAATTTATACTTTATAAACACCACTGTGGCCCAAATACTAGTCAAGTCCTTCCAGCCATACAAAGGAAGGCTTGCCTCTGAAGAGCGCTCCCTCCCTTCTACTACTTTGGTGCCCTGAGTCTGTTCTGCTCTGGTCACACAGGACTGAGCTGGCAAGAAGAAATGGCACACACAATACAAATATACAGAAAAGATTCTGGCTTCACAATGAACTGTATAATAAAGATTAAACCACTATGATTTCCTCAACTTGTCACCCTGATGGCAATTATTTCCAGAAGAAATTACTCTCATTTCACCTTGGCAATTGTAGCAGGAGAAATCCCAAAAGGAGACCATGGGTCCACAGCTTCCAATTTCATATTTACAGAAAATTCATGGGTTCCAATAAGTTGCTTATCCTGAAATGTATACAACAAAAAGCAAAAATATAGTGTTTTTGAATTAATGTCTAGTCTTACGTAGCTGAATATTTGTAATGGTTAATCTTCATTGTCAACCAGACTGAATTTGGAATCATCTATGTGACAGGCTTCTGCGCGTGTCTCTAGAGCATTTCCAGAGAGATTTAACTAGGTAGGAAGAACTGTGCTCTGAACTATGGTCCTGGGCTGGCTGAAAAAGCAGGAAGAGAACTGAGCCCCACGCTCATTTCTCTTCATTTGCTGACTGCATGTTTACTGTGACCAGGCATCTCAACTCCTGTCTCCAAGCCTCTCAGCCTGGTGGCCTACATCCCTTGAAACAAGGAGTCAAAATAAACTCTCATCCCTTAGGCAGCTTTTGTCACAGATGTTTCATTACAGCAACAAGAAAGGTAATTGAGTTAACTCAAATAAAATAAGCTTCTGGTAAAGTCGGTAATTTTTCTTCCTGGGAAAATCTATTCAGGACAAAAGCAACAACTCACATAAAATATTCCCCTCTACATTTGGAATACAATGGACATCTGGAAGAATTTATTTCCTAACTAGTTTTAAGGTTATGTAGTTAAGACTGGAAAAGAAGACATTCAAATGGCTTCTTTAAAATTTTGTTTGTTTTTTTGAGACAGGGTTTCTCTGTGTAGCTTTTTGGAGGTTGCCCTGCAACTCACTCTGTAGACCAGGCTGGCCTCAAACCCACAGAGATCCACCTGCCTCTGCCTCCCAAGTGCTGGGATTAAAGGCGTACGCCACACCCATCAGACACTCAGACAGCCTTAAGAGAACTGCTGGAAAACAGAGTGATCACCATCCCTCCACTCTGACCCCTCCTTCCCACACACAGGCACAGCACTCTCCTGCCTCCAACAATTAGTGTTCATTCTTTACCTCCCCCAATTGCCATTCTTTACTATAAAGAGAAAACTGTATTTATCGTGAGTTTCTGTTTTTACCTTAAACAAGTAAGAGGGTAATGGCTCTTCCTCCTCCTCTCTTACTCTGGCCAAAATCTCTTGCCAGTCAGCTTCACCTTTCAGATGCCGGATGGCTTCAGTGAAACAAAACAGCATGTTTAGAGGAGAAAGCCTATAGACGTCCTAAGTCCTTAAAGCACTCACATAAGCACAAGTCCTTTCTGCTACACTAGGAAAAGATTCAGGCTTGCTCCCCCACCACAGCCAGGGTTCTCTGTGTAGTCCTGGCTGTCCCGGCACTTGCTCTGTAGACCAGGCTGAGATCCGCCTGCCCCTGCCTCCTGAGTGCTGGGATTAAAGGCAGACACCACAATGTCTGTTTTGTTTTTGTTTTGTTTTTTTTGGGGGGGTAGGGTGGGGTTCAAGCCCACCTTCATACAAAAGAACTTATACCCTAATCTTGGCACTGAACTCTATTTAGGAGACCAGAAAATTAAAGTTTGTAAAATGTCTACAGTAAGAGTAGACATAACGCTGCAGCACATGAGATAATGCAATGGACACCTAACCTGGGCTACAGAGTAACAAATGCAAGAAAGGGCGAAACACTGGTTAGGGAAAAGTCTGAGGTATAATCAGTGATGTCCGCTAAACTACAAGTGTAATAACAAAATCAAAGAGAAATATACACTTAATGGAACTACTCTGTATAAATATGAAATACTTTTTATGCGAATTAAGAAAGGTTTTCATGGGCTGGAGAGATGGCTCAGCGGTTAAGAGCACTGCTTGCTCTTTCAAAGGTCCTGAGTTCAAATTCCAGCAACCACATGGTGGCTCACAACCATCTATAATGAAATCTGGTTCCCTCTTCTGGCATGCAGACATACATGCAAGCAGAATACCGTGTATGTAATAAATAAATAATTAAAAAAAGAAAGGTTTTCATAACATGTAGAGTATGTTTTCAGTCTCACAAATATTAATAGCAAAACAATAATACAAGTTTATAGAAAAGTGCTGTTGCTCTTTACCTAATGGGGGCTGGAGTGCATACCCTTGCTGAGCAGCCCAACCAATGTGATGAAGAAACGGATCTAAGTAATACAACCAGTGGTCAAAACTGTCAGAACTCTCAAGTCCTTCATAACGCAGCTTCAGCCGTCCCCCAATGTTCTCCACAACAGTAACAATCCAAGTGCTTAGAGAGTCCCGAAAAGCCTGGCACTCTAGTCTGGATCCCGGGGCGATAAGATCTAAAGGGTTCCTTCCATTACGGAGCTGTAGGTGAAAAATGTGAAATTAGAGGGTTAATACTTCTTTTTAAAAGTGAGTTCTAGATTTTCCCAAACGATAGTCTTCATATTATTTCCCTCATCCCACAACAGTGCATTAAGTTACACTGTCTCCAGACAGCCTCCCACAATGCCACTTTCGGGTGATATGAAAATGTTTACCATGAAGAAAACCTTCCCTATAAGACAATAAAACTATTTTAACAAACATCTCTAAATTATCATTTTATTTAATATAATTTTAAAAATAGAATCTTGTCTCTGATTATGAAAGCAAATGTGATCATCATTAAACAGAAAAGTCAAACATGCCTACCCTCTTCTATAAAGATCTAAAAAGACCACAGAGAACAGTTGGTATAGACACTATTCACAGTCAATATCTACTTTTGCTTTTCTTTGCATTGGTTTTTTTTCTCTTTTCCAAATATATACTGTTTTTCACTTATTAAATCACAGGTATCTTTTTATTAGAGAAGATGTCAGCTTCCCCTACCTTTTCAAGCGTTCTTAGTATTTTTGCATTTAAGTGAGCAACAATGCATCCACTTCTGATGAGCTTTTACTTGTCTGATTTTTCTTACCCATTCCACATGTTCTTATGATCACAGTAAGAACTTTTGGTTACAGTGAAAGGAAGGAACAATTTATCTAATTTTTTTTTTTACTAAGAAAAATAAGAAGCTTCATGACAAGTAGAGCTTTTGTAGAGGACATGAGTCTGATTTCCAGTATCCATGTCAAGTGGCTCAAAACTCCACACATACTCATGTGTACAAACCATATACATGAAATACACAAATATACATCACTAAAAATAAAATTAAAAGCTAGGCTTGGTGGTACACATCTTTACTACTAGAATTCAGGAAGCAGAGGAAGATTTTTTTTTTTGAGTTCAAGGTCAGTCTGGTCTACATAGGGAATATGAGGTTAGACAGGGCTACTGAGTGACTCTGACTCTCTTTCTCTCTCTCTCAGACCCCACCCCACACACACCATGAAAATTAAAAGAGGTGGGCAGTGGTGGCAAACACCTTTAATCCCAGCACTCAGAAGGCAGAGCCAGGATCTCCTGAGGTCGAGGCCAGCCTGGTCTACAAGAGTGAGTTCCAGGACAGCCAGGGCTACACAGAGAAGCGCTATCTTAAAAATACCAAAAAAAAAAAAAAATTTACTATCTAGATATGTATTAAAAACTACAATAAAGAATAGAGGGGCTTCACAGAGATGACTCAGGGTTAAGATCACTGGCTGCTCTTCCAGAGGACCTGGTTCAATTCCCAGCACCTATGTGGCAGCTCAGAGCCATCAGGGAAATCAACACCTTTACACAATCAAAACACCAACACACGTTAAAACTAACTAAATAAATAAAGCCATGTACGGTGGTGCACTCCTTTAATCCCAGCACTTGAGAGGCAGAGACAGTGGATCTCTGTGAGTTCCAGGCCAACCTGGTCTACATAGCAAGTTCCAGGACATCCAGAGCTGTTACACACAGAAACCTTGTCTCCAAAAAAAAAAAAAAAAAAAGGAAAGAAGGAATCCAGAGTCGATACCCAGCACCCATGTATAGTTGGGTGTGAAGGAAGTATATAATCCCAGCACAGGGAAGACAGCTAGGGGTATCCTGAAAGGCTTACTGGATAGTCAACCTAGCCAAATGGTGAACTCCAGGACAAGAGAGAAACTCTGTCTCAAGAAATAAAGTGGAGAGCAACTGATGAGGACACCAGTGTCAGCCTCTGACCTGCACATGCACTCCATACGCATATAAACACGCACACACAAACAGAAAAGACTGGAGGAAACTTCATTCATTCAAGTCTCAGGACATAAAAGTGGGGAGGGGATAAACAACAAAAGCATTAGAGAGCTCATCCCAAAGCCATCACCTAACCCTGCCTCTAACCTCCACAGTCTCGGGTGTCCTAAAGATTTGCCTGTCTCTGCCTTCTGAGTGCTGGAACCTCCCAGGCTACTCAACTATTCTTAATATTCACTGTAACATTTGTTCCTAGTGTAAACTGCTGTGTGAAGCTTTCATGTTTAGGTGTATAAAAGAACAGACAAACAAATGAAGGGCTGCACTAATAGCTGTAAGTTTTAAGATGGCAGAATCATGATCACTGCAGGACAGGATATTTTATCTGCTCAATGTTCACAGCCTCATGCATGCATCCATCCATTTGAACATCCAAGTGTTCAAAGTGTGCCAGGCCCTGGGTAAAGATAACAAAATTAATCTGAGTACAAAAAATGTTAAAGTTGTTTGAAACGGTGTTCACAAATGGGCATGGAAGCATCTATCAACAGAACCTTAAAAAGTGACTGACTGAGCAGGTTCTCAGGTACCAACAAGCCATCAGAGTGCAAGTCCTGACACTGATTTAAATGCTCCAATACTTATGCTTACGACTCCAAAAACAGTGTTTCTTTTTCCTCTCAGCAGTAAATTAGCAATCAATCTTGGAACCCTTGCAAAGGTTTTCCATACTCGTTTAAGAAGCCATGATACTCACGCCCTCTAGTAGAGACACAGGAGGACCACAGGCTCCTCTCAGGGTCTGCTGTAGAAACGCACCCCAATCAGACACTTTATCTCTGATGCCTAAACAAAGGAAGAAATAATTATTGTTCACATCAGTCACAGAACACAAAGAAATGTGACATACAGAAATGGCTTAAGGGTATGTTTATCACTTAAAAGTCAGTGTATTGCTTCATTTGAGAGCTTAAAATGAGAAAACAAAAACAGTTACAAAACTTCCCTACTCTGAGTTGAGCCATGTGCTGGTTAGTTTCTGTCACCGTGATAAAACCTAGGGTCATCTGGGAAGAAACTACAATTGAGAAAATGTTTCCATTACACTGGCTTGTGGTACATTTTCTTGATTAGTGACTGATGTGGGAGGGCTCAGCCCACTGTGGGCGGTGACATCCCTGGGCAGGTGGTCCTGAGGTGTATAAGCCAGCTGAGCAAGCCACAGGGAGTAAGACAGTGCCAGTGCTCCCCCATGGCCTCTGCTTCAGTTCCTGCCTGATGACTTTAGCTTGTGTCAAGCTGACACTCAACACCAGCCAGTACATTCTGTAACATTAATGGCTTTGTTAACAATTGTGTGTGCATGATATAACTGTGAGCACTCCTGTGACCACACATAGGAGGCCAACAGAGAATGCCAGGCATCCTGCTATATCATTTCCCAACTTATTCCACTAAGATAACTTGTATTCTCTTTGCTCTACATACAACTCTTAATTAACCAGAGAGAAATGTCTCACTTTGGCTTCTATTGCTATTTTTTAAATAGACCAGCTAGCTAGCAAGCCATAGGGATTCACCCACGTCTGCTTTCCATTGTGCTGTGGCTACAAGCACATGTGGCCATGTCCAGCTTTTATGGGGGTACTGGACTCTGAACTCAGGTCCCTCAAGTTTGTACAGCAAGCACTCTTACCCACTGTGACATCTTCAGTCCCCAACAGCTTTCAACAGATACACTGGTTCATTGGAGGCTAAAAATAGCGAAATTCTATCATTTCCTGTTCATCAATTAATCAAAATATTTCTATAAAGAGAAACTTGTGTTTATAAACCATTTGATGGGCCAGGAGTTAGTGGCACATGCCTTTAATCCCAGCACTCGGGAGGCAGAGGCAGGCGGATCTCTGTGAATTTGAGGCCATCCTGGTCTATAGAGCAAGTGCCAGGACAGCCTCCAAAACTACACAGAGAAACCCTGTCTCGAAAAACCAAAATAAATAAATAAAATAATGGGTTGATGCCCTGGCATCTTCCAAAGGCCACCAATGAACTTTTCGTTTACAAATTTTACTATGAAGTCCTAAACAAATGCATGTTCACAGTCACTGAAACTATTGTCCTTATTAATGCTCAAATTGTCTCTTTAATCAAAGGATGTCTCTTCAAGTTGGGTCTTGAGTCTTTTTGATATGACAGTGTAGTAAGATATTTCTGACTCATTTGTCATTTCCTGACCTGAACCAGATCCCCTACTACTTCTCTAAGGAACTCCAATTTGTTTCAATAAAAATAGTATTTAAAGTCAGATTTGGTAGCTCACAAATGTAATTCCAGAAACCGAGAGTTAGAGACAGAAGGACTAAGAATTTAAGATGCACCCAGCTGGTGGTGGCACACACCTTTACTCATAGCACTCAGCAGGCAGAGGCAGGCGGATCTCTTGAGTCTGAGGCCAGCCTGGTCTACAGAGTCAGAGCTACACAGAGAAACCCTGTCTCATAAATCAGAAACACACACACACACACACACACACACACACACACACACACACACACACACACACAGAGTGAGTTTTAGGCCATCCTGTGTCAAACAATAACAGATGGTATTTGGAGATCCTAAGTCAGGTGTTGTGGGGACCACTGCCACTGCCACTGCCACTGGGTTGTTTCTAGGCCTTCTCAGTGTCTACAAATGAATCTCATTTGCTGCTGCTGCTGCTGCTGTACTTTCTATGTGGGGGGGGGGGGTCAAGATCATGACAGGGGAACCCACAGAGACAGCTGACCGGAGTTCCTGGGAGCTCATGGACTACAGACTGACCGCTGGGGAGCCTGCATGAGACCAACCTAGGCTCTCTGCATGTGGGTGACAGCTGTGCAGCTTGGTCCGTTTGTGGGGCCCCTGGCAGTGGGACCAGGATCTGTCCCTGGTACATCCCTATGGTGGGATGCCTTATTCAGCCTTGAATCAGGGGAAGGGGCTTGGTCCTGCCTCAACCTGATGTGGCAGGCTTTGGTGACTCCCATGGGAGGACTTACCCTTTCTGAGCAGTGGATGTAGGGAGTGGAGGGGGAACATCACAGACAGGAGATTGGGAGAGGGAGCAGGAGGTGAGGAAGATGGGGAAACTAGAGTTGGTTATGTAAAATAAATAAAAATATTTAACAAAAAATTGCATACATGTTAGTAGGTACTTTTTCTCTTGTTTTTTATTCCTCTGTTTATTTGTAATCTAGAAGAAAAATTTGCTTTGGGGACTTAGTTTTATCTCTAGTGTTCTCTGATACCTTGTATTAATTAAGGAAATGTTTAGAAATTTTAGAAAATATTTATAATTCACTAATTGACAGGATATGAAAATATAGCTGAAAGATCTTTATTGTTTGTGATTATATGAAATGTTGCACAAACATTAATGGAGGTCTATTCAAAATGAAAATAAAATATAAGATCATGCACATATGTAGCCTCTTCTACATAGATTATATCCCACCCCCCTCAAGCCAAAGACCCTAGGTTTCAATTTGACATTATCATTTTGTTTTATTTCAAAATACACAAATAACTATTTCAAGTATCATCAGTTCTACAACCAACATAATGATCACTGAAAACAAAAGGTTCTTGTTATGGCCCCTAAAATACACTTCTATTAAGAATGGACATGTAAATCATTCTGTGGCCACCCCTCAAGCTCTATCTACACACAGAAATTTTATTTTGCTTCATAAAAGTTGCTTTTTAAATTTTAATTTTGGTACATAGTTACATTCAGAAAATCTATCATCTTCATTGTATTCCTTTCAGGTAACTTTTCTATTGATGCTTTTTATTTCTAAGAAAACAAATACAGTTCACAAACACATTCATATGCTTTCATTCTCTGCTAGTGTATTTCCATTGTCTTACTTTCTGTTTTTCTTTAACATTTAAATTTTATATAGCGTGTGTGTGTGTGTGTGTGTTGGTAAGGAATCACCCTCATCATCTTTCACATTATTAAATGAGGCAAAGTCTCTCAATCTAATTCACAGCTGGTCAATAGGGCTAGTCTTGCTAGCCAGCTTATTCTACGGATCCCGTCTCTGCCTTCCAAGGCTTGAATTACAGGCAGATGGCCATGTACACCTGACATTTATATGGGTCCTGGAAATACAAATTCCACTTTTCATGATTGAGCTGCAAGCGCCTAATCATTAAACATAACCCCCCCGCCTTAAATATATGTGTGTGCACATATATGCATACACACACATATACACACACCCCTCAACATATTCTGAGTAGTCTGAGTTGGTAGGCCAAAAGGCAGGTCACTCCTTGACTATATTATATATACAAAAGATGATTCTCCTTATTGCTGATTGTACCATTCAGCATAAAATACCCTTTTTATCCTACTGTTTTCTCACCTAGATTTTATGTCACATATTAAGACTGAAATGCCTGGCTTGTCTGCTTTTGCACTTGTCTCTACAGCTCTGCCCATCCCTTTTTATTTGTCTGACTCTTCAGAATTACTCCTGCCTGTGAGACAAATGTGAATTGTGCTTCCTAAGTCAGTATGATTTTGTTGTTTCTGTTGGAAGAGTAAGTCCATTTGTTGTACTTATTGATGCAAGCCCCCTGGTTTTGTCATAATACTACATGTTAAATCAATTACTTGTTATGTATGTCATGTTTATTATGTGATTTCTATTTGAATATATAATTTTAAGCCAATGTTTTGATATTTAGATAGGTTTGTATTCTCTACTGCTTACATTTATCTATATAATTCAATGTGTGTGGTGTGTGCACATGCGTGTGGGGCACACCCCCACAAGTGTGCATACAGATACCAGAGTACATGAGATAGCATTAAACATTTCTTTTCTTTTTTTTTTTGAAACAAGATCTCTCACCAAACCTGAAACTCTATTTTGGCCAGGCTGACTGGTTATCAAGCTCACAGGACCTGCTTGTCTCTGCCCCAAAACTCTGGAGTTACAAACCTGGTTTTAACATGGATGATTGGAATTTGAATTCAGGTCCTTTCACTTTCACAAGTAATCTTACCAGCTAAGCTGTCTCCCCCCATCCTATACAAATAGCTTAAAAGTTTTTGAGCTTTCGTACAAAGTCTTATTATATACCCCAAACTGGTCGCACTTTCACATCCCTCTTGCCTCTGCTAACTAGCTGTAGAGACTACAGGCATATGCTACCATATTTAGCTCACAATACTTTTATACAATAATATTAGACCTTTCTAGTTGGGGACTAGCTTCTTATGTTGTGAAATAAATAAATAAATAAATAAATGTGTTAAAGTATGTAAAGATGTGTGCATTTGTGTTGCAAATTGTTTAACTGTGTAAAGATGTGTTGCATGTGTTTATGCTGCATTTGTTTAACTGTTGTTTTTTGATATTCTGCATTTGTTTAAGTGTGTAAAGATGTGTGGCTTTTGTTTTATGCTGCATTTATTTAACTATGTAAAGATGTGTTGCTGTTCACATTGCCTGCCTAAGGCACCTGATGGGTCTAACAAAAAGCTGAATGGCCAATAGCCAGGCAGAGGAGGGACAGGCAGAGTTGGGAGGCAGAGAGAAAAGGGGGGGCAGCCAGCCAGACACGAAGGAAGCAGGAAAGCAGGATGGACAGTGCGTAGATGAGGTAAATGAGCCTCGGGGCAGCACACAGACTATTAGAAATGGGCTAATTTAAGCTAATGAAAAAAAGTTAGCTAGAAACAAGCCTAAGCTAAGAGCTGAGCTTTCATAATTAAGCCATGTCATGATTTGGGGGCTTTCTATTCAAGAAAGTCTGCTGCATATTTATTTCCTTTTTCTCTCTAAACAGCATTGAACTTGGATATGTTTAAACTCTGTTTTTTCTTCTCTCTTTCAATATCTCAGGTAATACTCTTTTACTTCCAGTCGACAACTTAAAAGTAACTGATGAACTACATGGGAGTAAAGAGGGAAAGAGAGAGACAGTGCGGCAGGGAAGAGCTCTCACTACTGTTGCAGAGGACCTCAGCATGGTTCTTAGCACCACACAGTGGCTCATCACTCACAACTCCAGTCCCACGGCAACCCCCAACGCCTTCTTCTAACCTATGAGGGTGCCAGGGACACACATGGTACAGAGTCATACTTACAGACAAAAACACTCATGCACATAAACATATCAAAAAATATAAATAAACCTCAAAATACTGAGTTCAATACCACTATACACACGCTCTCGTCCTCTGCTCCTATTTGGTTTTTAGCAGTGATATTCTGCCTACATTGTATTCTTACCAGGAGTCTCTTTGTAATAATAAAAATCATTCATTTGGTTTTCTGAACCTCATTGTTTTTGGGGAGGACGACAGTTTTAAGACAGGGTTTCTCTGTGTAGCTCTGGCTGTGCTGGAACTCACTGTGTAGACCAGGCTGGCCTAGAACTCAGATCTGCTTGCCTTTTCCTCCCAAGTTCTGGGGTTAAAGGTGTGGAACCCCCACTGTATGGCCTGAACATCATTGTTTGGCAGACTCTTATGAAAGACTCCTGGGAACAATATTCCTCAAATGTTTTCTACTTTCCTATCGGTCTGTATAGGGTTGTTTTTTGTTTTGTTTTGGCCAGAAGTCCATCTTGGATAGCTATAAAATTCTCTCATGCTCTTTCACTGAATGTATTACTCAAGTGATGAAAGTTAGCAGCAGCCACAGCAATACAAGACAGATCAGAAACATGGGTCTGTGACAGAGTTCACACTAAATGGAAAGAATTTCTTCATTTGTCCTACAAAAAGCACACAATCTCAATCAGGGGAAGCATAAGCCAGACCCAAATCCAGAGAGATCCCACACAGTACTTTTCAAAAATGTCAAAATAAAGAAAGACTAAGAAAGCTAAAGAGATACAACAGCGAAATGTCAGCTAATCCTGGCCTGGCTCCTAGACCAGAAACAGAAATAGAGAATTGCAAATATTCCTGAAACTAGAACACAGTGAGCACTATTGGAAAAATCTAGCCTATCTATATCCTCCAAGATATGTCTCTGCTCTGGCAGTTCAGAGTTCAAGGTGATCCATGGCAACATAACAAATTCAAGGCAAACTAGAGCTACCTACATGAGACAATGTCTCAAAAATAAATAATAAAACAGAGGCTGGAGAGATGGCTCAGCAGTTCTCTCCCAGAAGACCCAGGTTCAATTCCCAGCACTCACATGGCTGCTCACAACAAGCTATAACTCCAATCCCAGGGGATCTGACCCCCTTTTAGGGTCTCCTCTGATTACAGTAGAACAAGGGTCCTGGTTCCACTCAGATGCGCTGGCCTCTGAGGAAGCCTTAGTCACAGGAAGACCCAGAAAGACTAGGCCTTGGGGCACAACCCTCAACAGAGCAGAGACACACAGGTCAGTGGGGAACCATGAGAGTCGTGGCCAAATGAAAAACTGGTAACATGCCTATAAGCCCAGCTACTTAGGGAGGAGAGGCAGGAAGATAGCAAGTCGAAGGCCAGCCTGGGCTACAAAGTGAAAGAAAGCATCGCTTAGCTATATCCTGTCTCAAGACAAAAACAAAGCAAAACAACAAAAAAAAAAAAAAACACATTAATTGGGGGTAGGGAGGAGCTGGAGAGATGGCTCAGCAGTTAAGAGTACTGGCTGTTCTTTTAGAAGACCTGAGTTTGATTCGCAACACTTACATGGCAGCTCCAAATTGTAACTCCAATTCCAAGAGACCTGACACCACCTTCTGGCTTCAGTGGGAGCCCCTATGTACATGCACGCGCGTGCGCACACACACGTATACACACACACAGTAAAAGAACCAAAAAGAAAAAAACTAAAGTGTTAAGATAAATTACAGGTAATATGATTTCAGTTTAAAAACAGGTACATTACTCCTTATAAAATTTTTCATCAAAAATGTTTGCCTAAGCTGGGTGGTGATGTGGTATGTCTTTAATGCCAGCACTTGGGAAACAGAGGCAGGCAAATCTCAGTGAGTTCAAGGACAGCCAGGATATTACACAGAGAAACCCTGTCTTGAAGAACAAAAAACAAACAAAAAGAGCCTAAAAAGCTGTGTAAATCTATGTAGGAGTAGCCTGACAAGCCTCAAGGCTGTGACCAATCTAAACTTTCTTACAGCGATTCCCATCACACTCTGAAAGGAAGTGTTCTACTACCTTCTGGGGCTTCAAGGGTCTTCCTATTCTGCTGACACCAGCCAATGGGGTAGAGGCCAGCCTTTCTGATGTCACACCAGAAGTCCGCTTTCCGATCCTCCCCATAGCCTTCATAACGCAGCAGGAGCAACTGCTCACAGGCAGTGATGACAGTGGCAACCCAGTAGGTTTCAGGGTCTTTTTTCACAGCTACCTCCAGCTTCATCCCAGGAGCAAACCCATTTTGCAGACGTATGTCCACCTGAAGAAACAAATGTTATTAAGCACCAGGCAAACAAATTACATGAGTGGTTCTCTGTCCAAATTATTTCTTAAGATCTGACATTTCTGAAGTACTAAATGCCAATAAAATCTTCTCAAAGGAAACCCGAGAAATTCCAATTCTAACTCATAACAGTGATCTAAACAAAACAGAAGTAGCTACAGGACTTTGTCCCACAAAACAGTGATGGAACTAGATATTTTCAATGTGGTCTATATGATTATAGAAAGTATCTTCTAGAAAGCATATATATATTACTCAACATTCATATTTTCATATCCTTCAACATGTCTCCAAAAGTGATCTCTACATCACTCAACAACAACAAAAATTTTTAGGAAACCTTAACAGGGAAATGGAAAAAAAGGCATAAATAAATCAGCAGTGTTAGTAATATTATATACAATATGCAGGAAGCCATACTTCCTCTGTCAAAGTCCACACTTCTGTCAGCTATTATAATAAAGTGTTCCAATTTAGATGACAAGCTACATGGTGACAAAGGTATGGATTAACAATTCTTAAGTACAATAAAATAAGTACTTAAACACACTGTAGACAATGACAATCATTGTGGGAGAAGTCACAGACATGCTGGTGCACAAGGGAGGCAGGGGCAGACGGATCTCTGAAAGTTCAAGGCCAGCCTGGTCGACAGAGCGAGTCCCAGGACAGCTAGGGCTGTTAAACAGAGAATGATAACTGATAGGAAAGCTGTATAGATGTGGACATTAAGTACATGTATATTTCTTAACAGATCTAGAAGTAAACAAATTGGGTGCCCAAATCTTGGTTTTTAACATATCTCCCAATAAACAAGAACAAGCGATCATGGAGAAACTATGGGTTACAATTCTGGAAAACTAAAAATAAAGTAGGAGCCTGAAATGTCTTGTGATGGCAAACAGAAATAATCAAAAAAGCATGGGAGCATGTTAAAAGGAAGCAAAAGATAGCTGCAAGGCTCTCCCAATGGTCACAGTTGCAAACCAGATGATATAGAAAAAACTGATGGAAAAATATGGGCAGGTGGCTCCCAACTACAGTTCCAGGCAGAGGACCATGAGCTCCAGGCAAAAACATATCTAAAAAAACAAACAGAAAATGGGAGAAAAACAACTGTCATCAGACAAACATCATATAAATAAGCACAGCAAGCAAGACTCATTCAGGGGCTGGAGAGATGGCTCCGCAGTTAAGAGCAGTGACTACTCTTCTAGAGGACCGGGGTTCAATTCCCAGCACCCACATGGTGGCTCACAACTGTCTATAACTCTAGTTCTAGGGGACCTGACACTCTCACACAGACGTACATGCAGGCAAAACACGAAATGCACATAAAGAAAAATAAATTTTAAAAAGAATTATTCATAGATGCTAAAACTACTATGATGAAAAACAGTATTTGCAGAATCTCAAAGGATCATGCTATGAGCCTCTAATCCACTGTAAAAGACAAAACAGTAACAATACAATGAAGAAAACTGGCAATACCACTTTAAATTTATCAAAATTAATACAGCTCCTAAAACATCAATATTCCAATTGCATACACTTGCCTGACACCATACAACAAAAGGACTTTATTTCCTTTGGCATGCTTGACATATCTGTATATACTCAGTTTAATCATGAAGCAGGGAAATCCAAATTGAGAAATACTACACAAAATAACTGACATATAATATATATTCTTTAAAAGAGTCAAGTTAGCCGGGCGGTGGTGGCGCACGCCTTTAATCCCAGCACTCGGGATGCAGAGGCAGTCGATCTTTGTGAGTTCGAGGCCGGGCTGGTCCGACAGCCTCCAAAACAATACAGAGAAACTCTGCCTCATAAAAAAAAAAAAAAAAAAACTCAAGAATTTTGGACATCGGCAGAAGAGAGTTCAAGACAGCCTAATACTAACTCTGTCATTTGTTACTTGTAACCACTCATAAAAGATCAAACAAGGCAAAAAGAAATACAAAAATGTATAGTTTGAGGAGAAAATTTAATATTGGAGTCATGGTTTGTGCTGAAAGAAACAGGAGAAATGGAATAAAGGGAGAGGTGTCCTCAGGGCAAGCACCTCATCCAGCTAACCCTGAAATTAGTGAAAATCAAAGGCCTAAGGCAGCAGCTCTCAACCTGTGGATCACAACCTTTTGGGGGTTAAACAATCCTCCCACAGGGGTCGCATATCAGCTATCCTACATATCAGACATTTATATTACGAGTCATTACACTTATGAAGCAGCAGCAAAAATAACCTTATGGCTGGGGGTCACCACAACATGAGGAACTGAATTATAGGGTTGCAGCATTTAGAAGGTTGAGAACCACTGGCCTAAGAACTTATCTATTCCTAAAAGTCAACTGCAAATTAAAGTTTATGAAAATGTAACTCAAGAAGGGGCCAAGGGGTCAGGTTCTATCCCAAGGGGCAGCAGAACTTAGAAGCATCTGCCACATAGTTCTAGCTTTAGAGTCAAGAAGGATAGAGGAGTAAAGAGGTCATGGAAACACCATCCCCAGAGATTAAGTAAAGCCACTGAGGTCAGGTGTATGACAGGCCCAGAGAGAACACTGCCATGAAAGTGAAGCCTATGTTGGAGAGCCTAAGAAGCGGAAGACGCCAGAACCATGAACTATCTTCCAAGGAGAACTACAGAGAGTGAAGCCAGCCCAAGAGAGGGGTGTCGAGTCAGCAAAGCTGGACGGGCAGAGCCATCTAGGTCCTTTAACATCCGACACAGAACTACAGGGTCTGGAATTTGCCCTACTAGGTTTTGGTCTTGTATTTGGCTCAGTATTTCCTCCCTGCACCCTTTCCTCCCTTTTAGAATGGTACTGTGTATGTATATTCCTTGTCATTGTACAGTACAAGTATATAATTTGCTTTTTCATTTATTGGAACTTACAAATTAAGAGACTGATTTGGACTCAGAAGAGACTCTGAACTCGTAAAAAGTCTTGAGACTCAAAGCCTATGGGGACTTCTGAAGTTGGACTAAATGCATTTTGCATTATGATACGGCTATAAGCCTATGGGGGCCAGGGAGGGAAATGTGGTAGTTTGAGTGAGAATGGCCCCTAAAGGTCCACACTGGAAGTGTTTGGAAAGGATGAGGAGGTGTGGCCTTGTTGAAGAAGGTGTGTCACTGGGGATAGGGTTTAAGGTTTCAAAAGCCTACACTTTTCCCTTAAGTTAGTTCTCCCTGTCTCATGGCTGTTGTCTAAACAAAATGAGCTCTCAGCCTGACAGCCTGCTGCCCCACAAAACGCCAAGTCCCCAACAAAGTATTTCTTCTGTAAGTTGCCTTGGTCATGGTGCTTTGTCACAGCAGTAGAAAAGTAACTAAGACACAATAACTAAGATTATGAGAAAAGGGATAAGTCAGGCATGGTGGCAAACATCTTTATTCCCAGCACTAGGGGAAAACAGATTGATCTCTCTTAACTTGAGGCCACACTAGTCTATACAGCAAGTTCCAAGATAGCCAGGCTTACATAGTGAGACCTTGCCTCGAGAGAAAAAAAAATAAAAGAGGCATTGCCTACATGTTTAAACGATGCATAGGGAACTGTGGTAGAGCCTGTCTCTTCTAGATAATCCTCCCAGTTGAATTCAACTTCTTCTACACCAGGCCCAGAATCTGCAAAAGAAAACAACAAGAAGTTGTATCTCCAAGAAAACACAAGGTATATCAATAAACTTACTGTAGGACAAATTCATTGATTTACCCAAAAACATTAAGCAATTTTTGTTTTAATGGCAAGTTTCCTAAGTACACTGACTGCCAATTAAATTCAACGTAACAGTCATTTGATACATTATCTCTTGCTGGTATGGTGTTTGCATAGGAATGGATTCCACAGGCTCATATACTGGATGCTTGGTCATTAGGGAGTAGTACTACTTGGCAGGAATTAGGAGGTTAGAGTAGGTGTGGTCTTGTTGGAGGAAGTTTGTCACTGGAGATGGGCTTTGGGGCTTCAAAGGCTCAAGGCAGGCCTAGTGCCCCTCTCTCTTTTCCTGCTGCATGTCGACTGGACGTAGAACTCTCAGCTGCCTCTCTAGCACCACGTCTGCCTGCATGATGTCTTGCGTCCTAGCACGATAATAATGGACTAAACTGTAAGCCAGCCCCATTTAAATGTTTTCCTTTATAAGAGTTGCCATGGTAATGGTGTCTCTTCACAGCAACAGTACACTGAATAAGACACTAGAGAAACAACAAATCTGAAGTTTACACAAATGGATCATATGAAACTATTGTAAATAAGAAACTATTCAAATTACTTTGGACTCAAATATAATATCTAATACCAACATTTAGGATTCTTAATAGACATTCAAATTTAAACTATGAACCTGATTCTGAGTACTCCTCAACTGAGTAAAAATACTACTAGCCAATATTTCACTCAATCCAGAAAGTGTGAACTTACTTTTATTCAACCCTTAAATACAATCCAATAAGCATATCCTATATCTATTTCTCATGATGTCCACTGCTATCTCTATATTCACACATCGTTTACTTTTCATTCATATAAGACATCAAAGGCTCTACAGGATCCGACCTATCCTTCCACTTATTATGAACAAGCTCATAATTCCCCATAAATTCATCTCTAGGGGACTTGATGCCCTCTGGCTTTTCTGGGCACTGCACTAACATGTGCAAATTCATATACGATCACACACATATACATAATTTAAGAATAAACCAAAAATCTTTTTTAAAAAGGGGAGGGCTAGAAGCTTCATCCTTGATGACTACTTTTCACATTACTAGAAGGTACTATGTAGGTTGCCGAGGAGAAAACTTATCAGTAATTTTACTCAGTCATGGACCCAATAGGATTCACTACCAACCTATTGGTTAAGAAGTGCCCACTAGAGTGGTCTACCCATGACTAATCCAACTTGAAGCCCATGCCATGACACTGTCTGGATGGCCAGGAACCATAGGTAGGACAGCCCAGAGACCCAAGATAGAACCAATTATGACTGGCAAAAAAAAAGAAAAATCAATGAAATGATTCCTAACAATATTCTGCTATTCCCCTAGATTAGTGTCTAGCCCAACTGTCATCAGAGGGGCATCATCTAGTATAACTGATGGGAGCAGATGCAGAAACCCACAGCCAAACACTAGGCAGAGTCAGGGGAACCCTGCAGAACAGGAGGAAGGATTGTAGGAGCCAGAGGGGCCATGAAAATACGACCTATAGAATCAACTTAGCAGGGATCATAGGGGCTCACAGAGACTCAAGTGAAAACTCAGACCCATGTCTGAACTAAGTCCTTTGCATATGCCGATGGTTCTGTAGCTTAGTATGCTTGTGGGACTCCTAACAGTAGGAGTGTGCATGTGTGTATGTGGGGGTGCGGGGTGTCTGACTCTTTTGCCTGTGCGTGGAGCCCTCTTCCTCCTACTGAGTTGCCTCATCCAGCCTTGATCTGAAGATCTGTGCCCAGTCTTACTGCATCTTGTTAGGCCATGTTCAGTAGGTATCTCTGGGAGACCTGCTCTTTAAAAAAAGAAATGAGGGAAATAGAGAAGGAACTGTTCTGGGAGGAAACTTAAGTCAGGAAGTAATGTATAAGGGAAGAAGGAAAGTTTTAAAAAACATACACTAATGGCATGAATGTTATAATGATAACCAATTGCTTTCTGATTGGACGTAAGGCCTGCTCCACAGGAAGAAAATTCATACCTGGTACTGTAATTTGGTCAAAAGCCCACGGCTGGGGAGGTCATAGGCCCTAGTAGGAAAACCCTCCAACAAGACCATACCTACTCTAACCTCCTAATTCCTGCCAAGTAGTACTACTCCCTAATGACCAAGCATCCAGTATATGAGCCTGTGGGATCCATTCCTAAGCAAACACCACACCAGCAAGAGAGAATGTATCAAATGACTGTTACGTTGAATTTAATTGACAGTCAGTGCACTTAGGAAACTTGCCATTAAAACAAAACATAGAACTAAGCAGTTTATGCTCATTTTTGTATTTTAGATGTACAATTTTTATACTTTTATTTTACATTACACTGACATGAGAGAAGACAAACTGCATGAAGGGAACATGGACCCTGTTGACCGTCTTTGGAACTTCCTATGAACTCATAAAGTATTTGAAAACAATTGTAAAGTCATCTGCAAAAGCCAATTATTAAGAAAACGAGGCCTGTTCATAAAAACAGTAATTGTCCCAGGTTCTCTGTCAGGCCCAAGAGACAGCAATGGAAAACGTATGACTACAAGAGCTTCCAGTCTAGTAGTAGGAAGACAAGTTATTCCAACTAACAGGCAAACAAGCTGCACCGGCACCCTGGAGAGGCCTCAGCAAAACCAGTACCTGCATCTGGATGCTCCCCGTTCATCTCCACAGCGCATGCGCTATCCCTTCCACAAGTAACGGAAACGCTGGCGCTCTGCTATGATACGAAGATGATCGGAAGTTCAAAGTTTCTGTCCAGTGGACATCCAAGGAGCTAAACAAAAGTGTTAAAAAAAAGTCACAAACATGGCCAAAATTCAATGTGTTTACTTATTTATAAAACAGCATTCGATGGGTTGAGAGGTAAGAGAAAAGTCACTTAGAAGATACAGGATTACGGGGGCAGGGAGGTGACCGCTTTTCCAAATTTGATGTTTGTCTAGTGAGTATGGGTACACAGATGTGTAACAAAAGGACAACAGAAGTCTGGATAGCTAAGGGTTACAATAAAGTGTGGCAGTCAAGAGCACGGGCTGCTGACTACAGGACCCGGGTTCAAGTCCCAGCAGGCAAACACTGTTTATGACCATCTGTAACTCCAGTTCCAGGGGTCTGGGTTCATTCTGGCCTCCTTAGGCATGCATCACAAAGGTGGTATAGGACATACATTCAGGCAAAACACTCATACACATAAAATAAATGATTTAATGATGATTATAATAACTTGGCATATGTATGAGTCCTAACCTTTAAACTTCACATCAACAGATTATATCCACAAAAAATGCTAGTTCTTCCATCCATAAAAACTTCAATACCTAAGAGAATCACTCCAAAATAAGTTCCAAACCCATTTATATATTAAAACAGCTTTACTGGCCAAGCCTTTAATTCCAGCACTCGGGAGGCAGGTGGATCTCTGTGAGTTCGAGACCAGCCTGGACTACCAAGCGAGTTCCAGGACAGCCTCCAAAACCAGAGAAACCCTGTCTCGAAAAACCAAAAAAAAAAAAAAAAGAAAGAAAGAAAGAAAAAAACAGAAGAGAAGAAAAATAAAGTGCCAAGAAGTGTTGGTGGCATGCCCAGTCACAAATGGACCATCTACATTGTCTGCATGTATGTGCTCGAGGAGGCTAGAAGAAAACACCACAACCCTGAAACTGGGTCTTCCTTTAAGAGCAGCAAGTGCTCCTAACTCTGACCCTGATCTCCAGCCCAAATGATATATTATTCCACATAGACCCTTACCCCAAGGCTCAGGGCCCATGAAAGAAGGAGAGAACAAAAAGATTGTAAGAACAAGAGGTCAAGAGAAGATCAAAGTGAAAATACCTTCTGAACATAGTAAGTGTCGGTATTGTCATGAACTCACAATAGCGGTGCCTACACAAGATCAAGCCAGGCAGCATCCTAGCATGGACGGGGAAGGGAAGGGGTTCATGCGCCCCCATCCCTGATGAGCTATGGACAGTTGATGATTCTCAGAGGAACGGTCAGTTTTCTTTAAAGACATGGCTCCTGGTAGGTCAACCATGCTCCAGTGGACAGCCATACCCAGAAACATACAGTCAACACAAACTAGAAACTATGGTTTCTTTGTTTTTTTTCTTAAGAGGAAGTTGAAATGGGTATGGAGGGACAGGGGTGGATTGGTAAGAGTTAGGGATAAAAGGAGAGGGAAATATGATTAAAATTATATTGTATAAAATTCTCAAAGAATAAAAGTATTTTTATAAAACTATCTTGTGTTCCTGAGTGTTTACAGCAACATTATTCATAAAAGATAAAAATTATTCATGTTTACCAATCAATTAATGGATAAATAAAATGTAGGGTATCTAAGACAATGGAATCTAAATCCACAAAAAGAAATGTAATACTATTACATTTTATGACCTGGTATGGTTGTGTAAATAGGTGTGGTCCCCACAAATTCAAGTGTTTGAATGCTTAGGCCACAGAGAGTGGCACTGTTAGGAGGTGTGACCTTGCTGAGGAAGTGTGTCACTGTGGCGGCAGGCTTTGAGGTCTCATATGGTCAAGGTAAGCCTAGGATAGTACACAGTCTCCTTCTGCTGCCTGCAGATCTCATTGGGCGGTGGTGGCACATGCCTTTAATCCCAGCCCTCAGGAGACAGAGGCAGGTGGATCTCTCTGTGAGGCAAGCTTGGTCTAGGTAACAAGTCCCTGAGCAGCCAGACCTACATAGTGAGACCCTATCTTTAAAAAAGAAATGAAAAAAAAAAAGGACTTTATGTTTAAAAACAAACAAAAAAGAATCCTTCATCCAACATCCTTCCCTTTACAAAAAGGAAACTGAACCTCTAATTTGGAGACACCAGACTGCATTGAGCAAAGGCAAAACTCTTTCAGTCACAGAGAAACCAGCACAGGATTAGGTTCTAAACACTTAGACAGGTTCTCATTTCATTTTCACAAGTCTAAAGCAAGCATCATAACAAAGTTAGTAACGAGCACAATAACAAAGTTTACAACTCGAAAGCCAAGACTCCAGCAAAACCAAGAATACCTCAGTATTCAATTCTAACTCCAAAACTCAAGCATCTCCCATAGGCTATTTCAGAATATTTCTAACCATGACTAAGAATAACACAGTACATGTGTATATCCTATGCACCCAAATGACTTCCTTACTCCAACAGTTCTCAGAACATTATCAAAACTGTCTAACCTCTAGGTCTGTCCCCATCATTATCTCCTGCAATTTACAATAAACTCACCCATTTCCCTTATCTCACACACTGTTGATTAAATATCACCAACTCAAAATAAGGCCAATTTACTAAAATGCATTTATACCTTAAGCAATTTATTTTATTCCTATTGCCTATAGAAAGGTTGATAACTTGGGCTTCTAAGGCCCACAAAGAGAATTCAAGAGTTGAGTATGGATGAAGAAAAGGTTTTATATTTTTTACTAACCTGTAGAAAATAAACATTTTCTTCCAGTGTAGGCAACAAATTATAGTAACATTAGCCATAATTACAACTTACCACCACAGAGCACAGACATTTATATTAAACCAGTACAGATAATAAGTAACTGATTTCTTTTTAAATTTTGCATTTTAATTTTATATGTTTACACACATGATTCAGTGAACAACTCATGAGCTGGTTCCTATTATCATTCCCAAATCCTAAGCCATGGTTTTGTAAGTAAAGCATATGAAAGCCCAATCATCTAGAAGCCTGCTGTGAATTGCTGTATAATGGTCTTTTATTGTAACAGTGGGAAAACATATTTGGTAGCCTTAAATGGAGACAGAACAACCCACTCATAAAACTTGCTAAGTTAAAACACTTACATTACAATGATTTGTGCTCAAAGTGATAAAGGTGGCCATTATTCTACCCTCTAAATATAAAAAAAAAACTTCTATACAGAGCATTAAAAAACAACAAAACCATATAAACCTAAAATGAGCTAAAACAGCTCCTTGGGGACAACTAATGATATGAGTAGCAGAGCTGTCCAAACCTGATCAGAGAAAAGCTTTCCGCTCAATTTACTTTTCTAGCAAAAAAGAAAAAATTCACATTAAATATAATACAAGAACTATAGCACCAAATTAAAAATAATATAAATACAATTTATATTCAATGAAATATAAATCCTTAAATGTATGATCTGCTGTATATTAGCGTCCTCACAAACTACTGGTGCAAAAAAACAAAACAAAACAAAAATAGTAATTGGCTGGGCATTGGTGGCACACGCCTTTAATCCCAGCGCTCAGGAGGCAGAAGCAGGTGGATCTCTGAGTTCCAGACCAGCCTGGTCTCAGAAGCGAGACAGCCAGAGCTACACAAAGGAACTCTTGTCTCAGAAAAACGGGGGGGGGTGTAACTGATTTTAGAGTACAAGTAAAGATCTCTTCCTGTAAATAATTTGTACTTGACAGACTGGGTATGTACCTTAGTTGTTAGTGTCTTTGCCTAGCATACACAAAGCCCTGGTCTGAATCCCTAGCACTATAAGCAGGGTGGATGTCTATAATCTTAGCACTAGGGAAAAGGAGGCAAAAAGTAGAAACTGGGGGTCACTGTGACTACAAGACTCTGCCCCCAAAAGGGAGGGGAAAAAGCAGTTTTCACTAATACTATATTTTGAAATAATAAGAGTGTAGCCAGGTGTATTAGTTCATTCCTTTAATCCTAGTACTTTGAGAGGCAGAGGCAGGTAGGTATTTATGAGTTTGAGGCAAGCTTGGTCTACAAAGTGAGTTCCAGGACAGCCAGGGCTACATAGTGAGACTCTGTCTCAAAAGAGGGAGGGAGGAAGGGAGGGAGGGGAGGGGAGGGGAGGGGGGGAGGGGAGGGGAGGGAGGGAGGGGAGGGGAGGGAGGGAGGGGAGGGGAGGGAGGGAGGGAGGGAGGGGAGGGGAGGGGAGGGAGGGAGAAATCGTCTAATTTTTTTTAAACTATAAAGTCTAATAATAGTGGTTTTAAATTACGTCAACTTTACATATTCTAAGAAACTAATTAAAGGTTGAGCGTCTTTCATCCAATGCCTGTCGTCAGCAGTGTTTTAAATTTCAGACTCTAGAGTATTTGCACTGACTTTGCCAGTGAGCATCCTAATGAACAATTCAAATGAGAGCTGCTGCTCAGTGTGTATACCTAAGTACATTACTATATTTACTCCTGCCAAAATGGTCTCATCATCTTGTTACTTTTATATAACAACCAGTTTAATTACTTCAGGAAGGAACACTATTTATTTATAAAGGATCTTCTTCCTTAAATAAACTGAGGTGAGGGAGAAAGACGGCTGGCATTTGAGTGATTGCTGTACCAAGCACAACGCAATATGGCCATTTCACCCATCCCATCAACATCTGAAATACTCCCATTTTAGAGGCCAAAGAATGGAGATCCAAAGAAATTATGTTATTTAATTTACACACAACACAAATTCAAAACCTAAGTTCTTTCTCCATCACACTAATCTACTAGTTATCAAAAAAAGACAGAGAGAAAACCACTTTATGTCAAAGCCCCGCCCAATGGATTTCTTCATCTTCTCTCGTTTCCTCTCATTTTATGTATGTCCTGAAGTCTCGATACAGGAAAGAAGTCTTTAGAACCACAACCTAATAAATCAAAAACCAAAACATACCTAAGCACTGCTCCTGGTAATAGGTCTTCCCTTGTAAAAAAGCTCTAGAGAACAATAGCACATCTAGTGTATTTTAACCTATGTTGAGCTATGCTACATTCTTTACACCCATATCACAAAATCAAATGTCAT